ATCTTCCTGAAAGCCATGCTACGATCAGAAAACAGGAAAGCTTTGCCTAAAACTGCAAATGCTAGAAATGCCATTAGCGTGCAACAAAATCTGAAAAACAAAAAAGAAAGAAAAACTTTTAACAGTGTAAAAAAAAAAAAAAATCAGTTACAAAATAAAAAATATGCTATACAATGATTTGATTAAATCTGCTCTGTTAACCTTGGAGCTGAAATCTGTAGCAAATCCTTTTAGTAGAGTCAAAAGACACTTAGCACAGTTTAGCATTAAACTGCATGTAGGAAAACGAGCTTGTCAAAATATACTAATTATTATCAATGAAAGTGTTAAAAGTTACAATTGCAATGTTAATTTTTGTTGTTGGTTTGAAATATGTATCAAATCTCACTAAATGCCATACTATAGCAAGAAAACAGCATAACTTAGCATAAAGCCTCAATGAAGAAACAAATAGCTAGTTAGTGTCAAAATCTAAAAAGAGTAAAACAAATCTATCAGTGTCAATACAAACCAAAAACATTAGTGGACAAAAGCTTGAATAAAGCTGCTCTTTAAAGATTTTTTTTTAGACAATTAGCGTAGTTTAGCCTAAAACAACAAAGGTATAGCTGGCAGGGTGGGCACAGTTACATAACCCACTAACAGCTAATAGCGGAACAAATATTTTGTTTAGCAGATTAGCGTTTTCTCTAACTTTGGAAAGCGTTAGCAGAATTAGCTTCTGCTCAATTAGGTTTCGCCAACTTTTAAGTCCACTAACAAAATTCTCAACCTTGTTCTTGTCTGTTGTGGGCGTGTCTCAAAGAGTCCGTTCAACATGCTATTGGCTTACGTGTACACGTGACAAGACGTGATTGGTCGACGCAGCTTCAACTGGAAGGAGACAGTCGATCGAGTAGGCAGGGTCATTTGAAGGCTGCGGCCGCTGAACTGGGACACAGTTAAAGACTTGTGACGCAGACTGGGTGACAGTCGTCTGAGTGGTTAGCGGTTTAGCATTAGCTTCCATTAATTTATTTTACCTGTTATCAGTTTAGCGTTAACAAAATTAATTTTTAGTTAGCCAAATGTGGGTTAGCGAAGCTAACGTTTTGGTTAGCTGTGCCCACCACTGCTAACCATCTGCCAAAATCTGTTTTATTTAAATGCTAAACACGAATGTAAAGATGTAATGCAAAAAAAAATAAAAAAAAATTTAAAGCTGCTCTCATTTGTTTATTGCTCTGAAATACTTCATATTAAATCACTTTCAATACCTTAATGATGTAAAAAATACAGTTAACCTAGCTTAGCATGTAACGTGTAAGAGAAAGGGATGGTGTCTACCAATAACAAAACACATTGGCACATTTTTGCTTATTTTTTTATTTTTTTATTCCGGTGTGCAGTATGTACTGTATTTAAGATTTAAACATTTCAGTGCCTGATCTGAATGGAGATAGGCTTCGATTGTATTTGCTTTAAAGCAGAAACTATATTGGGGTAAATGGAAACTAGCATCACACAAACTGCACACAAACATGTATGGTATCAATCTTCTCACTATGCTCTGAACAATAAAAGAATGCTGTGGTTATTAAGTGTACTTCCTAATTTCTAACTGCTGCTTCAGAAATCCTCATCCAGCATGTTTATTCTCAGCGTTTAGTTACGTACGTGTTGTTTTGTGTGTCGCTCTGTGGCTCTCTGTGTTGTTGGCTGCAGAAGAATATAAAGATAATAGAATAATAATATAAAGATAAATGTAGCATAGCATAAAACACATACCCTTGTTTTGGAATAATGTTGTACTCATCGTGTCCAGTTCAACCTTCAAGTTTTACACAGTGGTACAAGCAGATTATTTCTGGCCAGAGTGGGATTACTTATTACTACTTTCTGTAGAGACGTACAAACATGGTGGAAAGAGAAAATCCTCTCAGACTTCACTCGCCTCTGATAATCCTTGATCGTTCCCAAAGGATCCCACAGTCAACACATCTGGTCCAGCTTTGCTGCCAGGATGTGATGAGCAGAGGCAACATATCCTTTAATTACTCCTATTTCAGCTCTATTTATACATCTGCTGCCAGATCTTTGTTCATTCTTTGTTCCTGAGAATTTACAGGAGAAATGTGTTTCTTCTGCTCCCCTCCTTCCATACAAAGTCCTCTGTGTTCACAAACCCTCGCGGGCCACTACATCTCATTTAGTACGCTCTTGTATCAAACTATGACATCAGCCCGTTCTAATTGTTTCCAGACTTGGCGAGGGCTGAGTTTTCATTTCATTTTTTCCATTTCTTAGCGCGGGCCTCCGTCGTGCAACATCCAGCAGAAACGAGCAGATAAAAAGAATCGACACATGATGTAACGTAGACAGAAAGCGCCGCTCCAAAATCTTGTGACCAACTTTCCAGGAGCTTTTTTTTTTTTTTTTTGCTTCCCTGATACTATTCAGGTCGCACATTTGTAGGAATCCATCAGATAAAGCAGTGTAGTCACATGCATCTGACCCGTGCATGCCTCTGTGTCCTTAACCCCATGTGTAATGTATTTAACTTTCTTTACAACAAGAATGACAATGAAAAGAATGGGGGGGGGGGGCATTGGAACTGAAGGCGGTGTTGAAGGAGAAGGAACTGAAATGCAGAAAGACCATATGTCGAGCTGAATAAATGGTTTTTTATGAGCAGAGTGGGCCTCTGCCTGGAATTCTCAATGACATCATGCTGGAGCGGCAGGACTCTGGATCTGGGGCTGGAGTGGGCCCTCACCAGACAGGGCAGCGAGACTGGATCGTAACCCTAGAAGAGGAAGTGAGACAGGGAGGCAGGCCCACAGAAAGAGTTACATAGGCCTACAAAGTTTATAAAGACTTGAAACAGTTGTGGGGGTTTATCATCACACGCTTTGTATTCAATATAAGATCACAGTATTACTTCATATCACTTTCAAAAATACATTTCTGCCAAACAAAGCATGCTCTGGAACAAATACCTCATATCATGCAGGCATTTCCAAATTAAAAGCCTGCCCCTGTTTCTGCTTGTTGGGTGAAATGGAACAAAAATGATCAAACAATTGGAGTCCCGGTTTTAATAAAGGAAGTTTGCAATGGTTTGTTATCTGGGTGTCCAAATACTACTTTAAAAAGTCTTTAGTTAATACAAAATGCTGCTGCCAGAGTTTTAACTGGAGTTAGTAGGAGATCATATCTCTCCAGTTTTAGCTTCTCTCCACTGGCTCCCTGTCAAATCCAGAATAGAATTCAGAATCTTACTTCTAACCTACAAAGCTCTCAACAACCTAGCTCCATCTTATATTACAGATCTTATTGTTCCATATTTTCCTAACAGAGTGCTTTGCTTCAGACTGCAGGTTTACTCGTGGTCCTTAGAGTTTCTAAAAGCAGAATGTGAGGCAGATCTTTCAGTTCTCAGGCTCCTCTCTTGTGAAACCAACTTCCAGTTTCTGTCCATGAGGCTGACACATTGTCCAGTTTTAAGACTGGGTTTAAGACTTTCCTTTTAGATAAATCCTATAGTTAGGGTTGGCTTGTTATACTGCTATAGACTACTGGAGGACAAATTGACCTCAATTTCCTTAAAAGAATTGTTAAAATTGAATAGTTTTCATTTGATACTATTTCTATCTTAACGTGATTCTTGACCTGCCATTGTGTATCTGTTCCTCTCAAACCCGTCCGGTTGAAGCAGGTGGACGCTTGTCCTGAGTCTGTTTCTGCTAAAGGTTTCTTCTTCATGAGGGAATTTTTCCTTTCCACTGTCGCTTTCGTGTTTGCTCAAGATGAGAGTTCTGCGATGGAGTTAAACTCAAAGCAGTCTGCTCCTCAGATAAATAATGTTAAATTATTTTTTTATATATATGAATGTTTCTGTTCAGTGCCCTGAGACAACTTGAACTGAACTGAATTGAAGATCCTAATTTTCTTTCATTGCCTGTTTTTCGCCCCATGCTTGGTTTCCAGTGGGAGATGAGCGGTTGTGTGATTTTGGTGCAGTGTGTAAGTTGAGTCAAATATCTGCACCTTCCTGAGGTGTTAGCAGCTGTAGTCACCAGAGTAAGGCCAAGGTCTCCAAACTGAAATAGATCAGCTGGTCAGGACTGTCCGTCCGCCTGTCTGCACGTAATCGTTCAGCTTTAGTCTCTCTTTGCTGGTCACTTGTCAAAACGCCTGTTAAAAGGTTGTTTTGCCTCTAATCCTGCACCTTTCATTTGAAGCCTTTGATGAAAACGGTGAGGAGGAGGTGATCATTTCAGCGCTTCGGGCCTCTAATTAGAAGAATCTCCAGTAGACCTTGTGTATGTGAGTGTTTGGATGATTAGGATGCCTGTAAACTGGCTCCATGTGGGAGTCATTCTCCACTGTTTCCTGTGCCCGTTGTCATTACATAGAAAATACTTCTGACTTGGGGCCAGTTTACCCCAACCCCCTTGTCTCAGAGGGGTGATTAGTCTGTGGCTTGTAAAGTCCAGCATCAAGACGCTGTCAGTTCAGGCTCTGATGTATGTCTGGGTCTCAGACCTTAGAGGGGATAGAGAAATGTGAACGGAAATGCTTTTATTTTCTTACTGCACGTTTTAAAAAATCAAGGTCTGAAAGGTTGTTTGCTTTTACCATCTCAGCAAGTTTAAATCTTTAATGTTGTTTCCTTGAACCACTTTTGCCCTCGTGTCCTCATACTCCACCTTTTCCCCTTTATCTGGATTTCCTCTGTACCAAAAAGCTCATCCTCTGTACTCTTTCCCCACCTTCCTTATCTCCTATGTTTCAACACTTTTCCTCATCTCTTGTATTTGCTCTTTGGTTTCCATTTCATGTAACGTACTATTCAGCTTCTCCGGCAGCAGCCTTGACTGTTTGCACGGCTCTTTCCTGCACGGTTCTGGACGTCCAAGAGGTATTTTTTTTACAAATCCTGCTCAGCTACAAGCCCACCGTGCTTTCACACCCCCCTTTTCCCTGCTCCCCGCCCTCCTTCCATACTGCTCAGGGCCTGGCAGAAACTCGCACTCCACCGATTCCAGAGCCTCCACCCCCCCTTTAAACTCCTACCAGCCCGGCACAGAGGACAGGGAGGAAGAAAATACAAAAAGAGAGAGCTCTGTTTGTCTGTCAGGGATTACAGACTGCCACTCAACTCTGACGTGCTCCGTAGGAAGCTGCGTTCAGAGGAATGGGAACCTTGGCGAGAAGCAGAGACGCTGCAGCAGATGGTCGTTTTGAGATGTATCTGTCTGTCAGAGGAAGCTTTTAGGCAATATGAGCACCGGCGAGGGGACCCTCTAATGTTTGGACTACATCACCTAGTGAGCGCTGGCCAGCATGTGGTGTTTGCAGTGTAATTCAGAGAAGACCCAGTCGCTGCTGGAGCTGGAGCTGAATGGCTGGTAAGACTGATGGAAGACGGTAAAATGTTTGTTTTTAGGTGCTTTTCTCCACCGGACGAGGCTACACCTGACTGCGAGTCCTGGTTGTGTTCAGTAAACAAGAGGAAGGAGGTCTGTGGCATTTGCACAAATTCCAGAGAAAGGATGACGGGAGGAACGCGAAAACCTTGAGACCGCAAACTCCAAAGAATGGTTTGCCATCCCAGTTTGGACTCCCTCACGATGGAAAACAGATCCCGTCCTCACTCTGAGTCACTGTGTTTAGTCTCACTGTACAGAGTCCATCGGCGAGCCGGGTTGAGACGCATTCCTGTGGTTTATTGGGGCCCCTGCTGTGATTATGTGCTGTTTGATAGCAGGAGGGGTTCAAGGACAGGTGCTGAGCAGTGTTGAGGATACCTTAATTATTCATCCCCCATTGATAAAGACTCCTGACAGGAGGGAGGAGGGATCAGACAGAACAAGACCCAGCAGCTAACGGGACCAGTATCGATTTCTGATTACTTTCTAAGCGTGCAGATGGCACCTACAAACCCTCAGCTCCAGTCTTTTGTGTTGCAGTCAAGTATGTTTTAATTTGCTGCAGCTGCGCTTCACTTATAAGGCTTTTATTTCAAGTCACTGTGCAAATTCTCCAGCTCTGCCGCTTAACCAACCTTTCTGGAAATCGTGTTTGTAATTGGGATTAACGTAAGGGAATCTACAGCGTTTGTGTTTTCACAAATTTCATACCCAGCCTTTCTATGGCAATTTTATGCCAAACATAAAGTCATAAAATAGTGCAAGACCATCTTTTAAAAGAGCAAAAAACAGCCATATTGTTAGGAACGTTTGAGTAAAAAAGCAATTTTAAAAAGAGCATCAAAGATAATTACACTGGTTTTGTACTGGTTTTTGCTGTTTGTGGAGCCGGTTTAGGTATAAAATTGACCTCGCCAGAACCAGTAGACCTTATGGGGACCAAAGCTCGGTCTTAATCTGGTGTATTTTGGAGTTTGGGTTGCGTTTTTACTGGTAATGGTCTGAGTTAGACTACAAAAACGAATGGAAGTCAACAGTGTGTGTGTTTATGGGGATTCAATTAGTTTATCTTTTAATTTTTTTTAGTTTATGTGCTATGAAACAATATTTTTGCTAATAAGTTTTAGACATAATTGTAACAAAACCATTTGTTTCTTTCATGTTTGCTATATTATCGGCAGCAATGGAAGCAAAAACAGCCATTAAAAAGCTTCAAATGATTATCACCAAAAAAACAACAACATGTTAATCAAGCAACGTGTAAAAATGTTGCAAATATGTGACAGTTTGTCATCAAACAAGCAGCAGAGATTACTCATGCATTTGGCTTCTGTGTGCGTATATTTGGCTGCTAATGCTAATGAACACAACACACACTGGGATAAACAAATGCTCATTGGAAATTATTACAGAAACATGAATTAATTGATATTTTTGTTGTGCTTTTCCACGTTCCAAACAACAAAATAAATGAAATATTTTGTGCAGCCAATGACATGTTTCAGTTGGTAAAACAGTGTAAACATCAAGCCACATGCTCGTTAAAGTGCACGACAAACAAACATGATCATGCAGACATACTCAAGATTATATGAAATAGATGAAGTCATAAATGGTAATAGTGAGCAAACCTATGCTTAAATCGCTCTAAAATTCAATGAAGACTACCGTATTCTACGGCCTATAAGTCACAGTTTTTTTACATAATTTACATGCCCTACGACTTATAGGCCGAAGTGACTTATTTATGTTTTGTTTCCAATATTTATAAACCAATTTTTGGCTGAGATACGACTGTTCTCATTCATTCGGACATTAAAAATATTGAATACTACCATTTTCAGCCGCTAGATGGCACTCGAGTAGTATGGCATGCCGTTGTGTCCTGTAATAGATAAAAATGAATATTAGTTACACAATCGACTTGCCATAGACTGTCACCTGGAACAACTGTCAAATCAGTTTCATTTTGCAAACAAATAATTGTTTTTAGGTGCTTATCTTGTTAAATTTCAAAGAAATCCACATCGAGTCGTCCCTCTGCGCACTCCCGCTTCCGCAAATTGATTTTTGACATACAGCTGATGTGACCGTCAAAGTGCATTTATTAAGGAAAAGTTCAATTGAGACACGGGCAGCACGGTGGCGCAACTGGTAGAGCTGCTGCCTCTCAGCGAGCAGGTCCCTGGTTCAAACCCCGGTCCAGGGGCCTTTCTGGGTGGAGTTTGCATGTTCTCTCCGTGCATGCGTGGGTTTTCTCCGGGTACTCCGGTTTCCTCCCACAGACCAAAAACATGCATGTTAGGCTGATTGGTAACTCTAAATTGTCCCTAGGTGTGAGTGAGAGAGTGAATGGTTGTTTGTCTCGTGTGTCTATGTGGCCCTGTGATGGACTTGCGACCCGTCCAGGGTGTACCCCGCCCCTCGCACAGTGATTGCTGGACATGGGCACCAGCGACCCCCGTGACCCAAAATGGAATAAACGGGTAAAGAAAATGGATGGATGGATAAATTGAGACACACATTTACAATAATTTTAAGCAAACAGAGAATTGTTTTTGTGTTAATCTTGTTAAAGTCCTCCCGTGCACGCTCCCGCGGCCGCCATTTGGCAGTCGATCTGTTTCACAACACCGGCCCACATTTCCATGTTGTCAGCAGCGACGCTTAACAAACGCATCCGTCAGCTGTGACGCATAATAGATGGACTTATATGGCGAAACAACGTATTTACTTTTTCCCATTTTATTAGATGTATTTGGACTGATGCAACTTATATGGCAGTGTGACATGTACGGCGGAAAATACAGTAGTAGTCATGATTGGACCAAGGGTTCAATGAAAAGTAGCGACCAGATGAGCTTCAGTTCTCAGGGAAACTCCACTCCACTTTTTACAACGTTTTAAAAAACCTTCATACAAATATAGAGAAAATTAAAGTCTGCGCTTCCAAACAGTAGTCCACAAACCGATGAGTGACGTCAAGGTGGCTGATCCACATTTTTCATCCTCTCTGTGGTCCTCCAATAGTCTGTTTTCCACATAAAGGCGTTCAGCTGCCAGAAGGCCGAATGTGATTTATAGATACTTTAAAAAAAAACTCTCTCAAGCTGAAGTACACAACTGACAGTAGTTATCAACCATGAGTTGTAATGAGACTCCAGTCGACTATTTTTTGTCCGCAGCACGCTCTCAGGAGCGGTGCTGTCAGTCCGCTGGCCCCGCACAGCCTTCCAGGATGCAGCTGTGTTGAACTGTAAACCCCCGGCTCGTTCCTCCGTGTCTTTTTATAGCCGTTAGAAAATAACTCTGGCGTCCAGTTATTGGTGCCTAAACTTCGGCTACAGCTGAGTGTCCTTTGGCAGGTTCTTCTCTGAACGCTGGACGTAAATAATTTGTTACTGTGTGAGCCTCTTGAGCTTCAACTTAAAAAATAAATTCAAACAAACCAAACAGGCTGATGTCCCCCCTCACTGAGGGATTTGGATAATATGAATGTTGTGTAGTTTTGGAGATGAGTGTTTGTCTGGACTGGAATGAAACAGGGAATGCAAGTAAAACTTTTTTTTTTTTTGGTTGTTTGAGGCCGTACAGAGGGACTGATCCTGGCAGGTGGAGGGAACATTTCCATCTATGACCAGGTGCAATGGCAGTGCTAGGGGGTGGTGAATGGTGACCGTGGCCCCTGTAGATTAAACTTTGGCCACCCCAAGGGCCACCCGATCATTTGAGGAAACTATACGTTTAAGCAATATAAAAGCATAGTTTTCATACTTTATAGTTTTAAGCATAGAAAGCAGTTTCCTGAAATGATAGGGATGATCAGTTTACACACGTATATGACGGTGGCCATCTTGGATTTTGATGTGACAGCCCAATTTTCAACAATTTTATTTTATTTTTTTACACCTTGATGCAGCAACACACCCAAATTAAAGTCGGCATGTTGTTTATTTTTTAAGTTATTCATCTCACAGAGTTAACATATGTAAATATATGGTGGCAGCCATCTTGGATTTTGATGTGGTGACCCAATTTTTGAAAAGAGACTTTGCTTACGCCTAGATGTAGCCACGCAGCACAATGGAAGTCGATACGTCACTTATTTTTTAAGTTGGCACGCTTATAATTTGCACGGTCGGACAGCGTATTTCTAATCTCCCCTCTTTGGCGGAGGACAAAAAAGAAGGAATCATTTTGACATCTGCCTGCCGAGGTCTGGTGCGTGCATTTGGATCTACGAGCTGTCCGAGTCATTTTGAAAAGAGAGAAAACATCTGCTCATGTGCTGCTCGGAGCAAATGTCAGTGCACGTGGGGCGAGCAGTGTGATGTGGAGGTGCTGTTTGGGTTTTATTGGAAGGGCCACTTTACTACCCGTGTTTATTTACACACACAAACAGCAGCTCTGTGCTGTAAGGTTAAAGGAGGAATGCAAGTGGGAATTTACTGTAAGTGTTCGAGCTTGTGTGATATCGCCCTTTAATTTAAGTAAAATATTAACTACTTCTTCAGAATCTATCATAAGCTTCTTCATGCACCAAATAAACATTAATTTGTTGGTACAGAAGGTCAGTATTTCCACTTTAAAACTGTAATGTTCTTTTATAACATAGGTTTTCTAAATAATTGGGGCATTTGTACTTATTTCTGTAAGCTGTCTTAAAAAAAAGAGAAGGTCCTCCCATCTTTTATTTTCTTCATCTTGAATCATAAAAAAGGAAGTCAGATGTCATGCTTACATTTATTTAAGATCTGAATGCGTGTATAAAGAACGTTATTTATCTTTTCCATCAGTTGGGGCTGTGGACGTCTTTGTGTCTTTGTTTGGGGAGGGGGGGGGGGGGGGGGTTACATCAGTTCCACGCTGCAGCTCACTCAGTCTGCACTTCATTAGCTCTCTTGTGTTCCCAGAACCGCCGTAGATGTGACTCCTCTTTTCCGGGATGTCGGAATGTTTCTCCCTCAGGTCTGACTGATGGAATGGGTTGAGGCCTGGGCAGGGGTCCTGTTTGCTCAGGATGTGTTAGGAGAAGGGGGGGTTGAGAAGGGAGACTGTGGCCCCCTGCTCCAATCCCCACTCCCCTCCAGGTCCCCGAATCCGAAAATCACTGCCAGCCGTGTTGACGTTCTTCTCCACGGTCTGCATCGGGAGCAGCATGGGTGGAAGTGGAGCCAGCCCAGAGGGACGGTCGCTGCAAGCGCCGGAGGATCAGATTTCAAAGCTGCGTGGTCACAACCAGGAGGTGGTCTCCTGTCCAGAATGCGCTGCTGCCTAAAATATCATCTCTTACGTTTGTTCTCTCTTCCATGGCGGACAGTTGACCTTTCAGATGAATTTTCGGTGACCTCAGAGCAGAAACTGCTGCCGCCGTCTCCCCCACGAACCAGCCACCGCCCAGATACTTGGACGGTTGAACGCGAGGCAGAAAATAATCACTAAAAATGAAGAAAAGGTTCTGGCCCATGGGTCCCACTGGGGAAAAGCAGCTTTTCAACCCTAGTTTTGATTTGGAGCCTCTGAGGTTTTTGGAGTTGATGAAGACTTCAAACCCAGAGGAGGCCTGTGGGCTTTAAACAGAGCAAACATGCTGTTGTTGTTTTTAGTAATGTTGTTCATTTTTATTACATTTTACCCACCAATCAAACTTCTTCTGAATGACTCCCAGCTGTATTCTGGCTCCGCGGCAGCAGTGGTGTGACTCTTAACTCGACTGATGGCAGCTCTGCAGTTTGCTACGACACGTTGAGGAGCTTTATCCCAGGAGTGGTTATACAGGAAGGTAGGATTTAGTGTTCTGGTGTCGGTCCAGCAGAACGAGTCGTCTGTTCTGAGCCACAATCAAACCCACCGTGTTTACAGGGTGTCCAAGTATAGCTGCCACCCAGAGACAGTCGACGCTTCCTGTCACGTTCTTGTTCGGCCTCGTGGTTTTGGCACGATTGACAAATAAGACGGGGGCGTGCGTTTGGTGGAAACGAACAGCTGAGCTTCCACAGTAAAAAGTCGACTGGAAAAGTCGTGGGTTTTTGGTTGTGTTTGGAAAAAAGCTCATCCTAACAATAAATTTATAGCTGTCTTTATCATAAAATAAGGCGATAAGTCGTTTAGGTTTCTGTTTATCAATATGTGCTCGCTGGTCTTCTGTTTTGCAGGTAAAGCCATGACGATGATGTCAGTACATGCTTATTTAAACTCTGTTGGCCAGTGACTTAAAGTTGAGGCCTTTCAGCTTTTGTTTGTTTTGTTTTGTGTTTTTTACTAATCTATAGCAGAGATCTAGATATAAATAGTGGGGAGACAAAGTATAAAACAAACTTAAATTTCTTGGAGGACTGTACAGCATACATGCCAGCTGCCTTGCATGCCAAGGTTTTAAGCAAGGATCTTGTGCAATCCTTTAGTGCTCGACCTTTCTGTTGGGAATCACTCTCAGCTACTACCATACAAAATTTTGCTAAATTTCTACAAAACTGGCTGAGCTATAGCCATTTTTATGTTTTCTACGGTTGATTGGCTGTGGCGGCCACCTTCATTTGGTGTGAGTCTAGAAATTAATCACTTGCAGACACGCATCCAATGGTTATTTTGCAGGATTTCAATAAAATTCGCCCTGTGGTTCAGGAGTTATTTTGCAAACAGACAGGCAAGCACAGCCACAGGCATTTACAAGATCATCCACCTTTCGTGGCAACAGGGGATAAATATGCATTTATGTCAGCTTTAAATAACAGTTTTAATGTAGGTGAATGGAAAATCCAGTAAATGTCACATTGCCATTTATGACTATTGGTGATTTAGGCTCCACTTCATACACATGGATTTTTATATTTCTTGGTAATATGTTGATCAGGAGCACAGCAGCACTTTAGTTTGGAGCTGAGGTTTTAAATATTCTCCCAAATAATTTTACTAGTAATTACTAGTCTTAAAGCTTTTACAAATATGCATTTATAAGTTCTTCGTAAGCTCTCTTGTTGTTTAACCAATAGCACGCACATGTATTGCAAATCAATAATTGGTTATCAGCAGTGTTTTATAAGTTACCGCACTGCACTCGTAGGGTTTTCACCTCGTGCATCTGCTGTTTCCACTTGTGGAACTTCCCTTTTTCTTCTCAGGGTCGATTGCTTTAGGCAGTTTGTTGCCGGACGGTAATTTCAGTGCTGTCTAATGAAGGAAGTAGATTGTGTACACTGTCTGGGTGTGTCGAGTCACAGTTCAAGCACATTTGGCTGCGAGCACACCGTGGAGGAGGAGGAATATTAGTTTGATGTTTTTAATTCAGCCGGTCGGCACCTCATTCAGCTCCGCTGTGGCTTTTCTTCTTCTTTTGTTTTAAAAGGAATCCATGAAGTTGTATTTACTCTGCCATCCTACTCTAAACTGGACTTTGTATCCTGAACTGGGACAGCATGTCATTGCTCCTACAAATATGATGTAATTCCCCAGTGGTCTCTGATTGGCCTTTAACTTGACATAAACTTTGGTTTCCTGGAGGAGGCTGTGTACTCTGGACTTCACTGAAAGAATGGTGGACAAGATATGGAGGAAGAGCTGGCATTTTTTGGAAAATAGGTGGTCTTTACACAATAAGCAGTCCCCTTGTAGGTCTTCAGAGCATAAGCATGTGTGAGTACCACCTGTTTTCAGCTGTGTGAGATTTAATTGTTCTAGGACAGAGGGTGTTTTGAGTTTTGGACTGTTTACTTGTCATTTTACATATGACATATGTGGCAGTATCAAACGGTTTGACTTAATAGAAGAGGAGTTCTCCATTTTATTTGGTTTTAAAATTACAGCGTCTAACTCATTTACACACAATATGCTATTTATTACTGTAATGTCATACTTGTTTGTATATAACAAAGTTGTGACTTAAGACACTGGAGATAAATTGCCTCCTGCTGTGGAAATAAAAGCAAAACATCATAGTTTGTCAAACAGGTCTCAGTTCGATCGTTGGCTTTACTAAAATTGTCACTCTCATCCGCTCTTGTTGCAGTGTGGAAGGGGATGGACGGCCCGGTGACAGCGGCCCTTCACTGGATGGCAGAGCCAGCTATGGCCAGGGTCCGGTAACTCACGGCTCGGCCATCAGTCCCGACCGGTTCGACAGCCAGCTTTATAGCCACGGGGTCCAACCCGGACCACAGAGGCCTCGCAGGCCCAAGCTCCAGCACTCACAGTCCATCCTTCGTAAGCAGGCTGAGGAGGAGGCCATCAAGCGCTCCCGTTCGCTCTCCGAGAGTTATGAGCTCTCTGCTGACCTTCAAGATAAACAGGTATGCCTAAAATCAGCATATAGCTTTTCTGTAAAATAAATTACCTCAAGCACCACCTGTGTCATGTTATAGTTCACTTTGTCAAAGACGCAACAACGATACCGGCAACATAATGCTGTAGACAACTACAGCTAAAAACAAATACTCATTGGACGGCAGGTTGACACCTAATATACTCCATCTATTTTGCTAGGTGGAGATGCTGGAGCGTAAATATGGTGGAAGATTCATAACTCGACATGCAGCTCGCACCATCCAGACAGCCTTCCGACAGTATCAGATGAACAAGAACTTTGAACGTCTCAGGAGTTCCATGTCAGAGAACCGCATGTCCAGACGCATCGTTCTCTCTAACATGAGGATGCAGCTGTCATTCGAGGGCCCTGAGAAAGTACACAGCTCGTATTTCGAAGGGAGGCAGGTGTCCATGACGGAGGACGGCACCCCGCTGTCCATGGTGCAGTCTGAATGTGGAGATGTTGAAGTCCACAAGCAGGCGAACAGGACTTCTCACACAGGACCGCAGGGAGACCTGACGGACACCATCACTGAGCTGGAGGACGCCTTCTCCAGGCAGGTCAAGTCTCTGGCTGAGTCGATTGATGACGCCTTGAATTGTCGCAGCCTTCAGGGGGACGAAGGTCCTGATCCCGAGGCCATGGTCTGCTCTAAGGTGGAAGGGGAGGTGCCTTATCAGGTGAAGTCTCACCGCAGGGCAGCCGGACGGATGCGCGATGAAACTATGGCATCCTACAGCGATGTTACTCTGTTTATCGACGAAGAGGACATGTCCCCTTCGGCCGCTCTGTCCAGGTCCGGAGACCAGCCGTCCAGTATGGAATCAGACTTACGGCTGCAGTCTGTGAACTCTTCCCAAGAATACTGGCCTATTGAATCTAAAGACGAGGGCCGTGACACAGACACGAGCTGCCGCAGCACTCCCTCTTTAGAGTGCCAAGAGCAGCGTCTCCGAATGGACCATCTCCCTCTGCTGACCATAGAGCCTCCCAGTGATAGCTCCGCAGAACTCAGCGACCGGTCCGAACGTGGCTCCATCAAACGGCCGCCCTCGTACGAGTCCCACGGCCACATTGTAACATCCTCCCAGGCAAGCCCTAAACACATTTCTCACGGACCTCCACCACGAGCTCCCCCCCGTGACGACGATGCACCTCTGCGCCATCGCCACCGACAGCTAGAAAGTCACTTGGCCATCAACGGTTCAGCAAACAGACAGAGCAAGTCAGAGTCGGACTTCTCAGACGGGGACAATGACAGCATCAACAGCACATCGAACTCAAATGACACCATAAACTGCAGCTCAGAGTCCTCGTCAAGAGACAGCCTGCGAGAGCAGACGCTTAGCAAGCAAACCTACCACAAAGAGACTCGCAACAGCTGGGACTCCCCCATCTTCAGTAACGATGTTATCCGCAAGAGACACTACCGCATCGGCCTCAATCTTTTTAACAAGTAGGTTCTCCGCCCTAATGAAGCTGGTTGATTCCTGTTTATTGTAGCATGTGAATGAACTACACGATCGAGAGGGTTTTTGAAGATGGTGGCTAACGAACAGTATCATCGCTCAGCCGTGTCAGGATCAAATATAAAAATACTCGCCCTGCTGTTTGTGAGAAAGAGCAAATTAGGAACGTCAATCTCTTGGTGTGCATCATTTAACCTAGATTTATTTTCCTCTCTTGCAGAGTGAAACACATTTTAGTGGCACCATTTTTTTTTATTATTTCCGATCAAATTTTGCCTAAACATAAATTCTGATCAATTCAGTTAAATTGTATTAAAACTGTAAAGATTTGTATGTTTAGCTTCAAGCTGATAGATAATGCCTGTGCATCATTTTCCTCAGCCTAATAACTGAGTTGTCAAGGAATTTGCCTCAAGTTGTCATCAGTATGAATTTTCAGAGATTTCTAGCAGTTGCATTGGTTGGTTGACATTAAGGGTTAAAAGTGTTATTTCTGGTCTGTGTTGAACTTTGCAGGAAGCCAGAGAAGGGCATCCAGTATCTGACTGAGAGGGGATTCATACCCGACACGCCGGTTGGTGTGGCTCACTTCCTGCTTCAAAGAAAGGGACTCAGCAGGCAGATGATCGGAGAGTTCCTCGGCAATCGACAGAAGCAGTTTAACAGAGACGTCTTAGAGTACGTAGAATTTGGTTAAAACGTGTTTAGCACAAAAAAGACCAGAAACACTAGTTTTATACTTGCTGAAATATCGTCATTGATGGCATGAGGGTCAAACTGTTCCAGTTAAAATAATATTTCCATATTGAGTAAAATAGCAGTACATTAGTATTTAATTTACTTTCTGTCTATTTCCTCTCCTTGCGCACCAGTTGTGTGGTGGATGAAATGGAGTTCCAGGCCATGGAGCTGGATGAGGCCCTCAGGAAGTTTCAAAACCACATCCGAGTCCAGGGTGAAGCCCAGAAAGTGGAGAGGCTGATTGAAGCCTTCAGGTTAGGCTACAACCTGATGTTAAGTACGTCAAGAGTCCAGTAATGGCCAGAACCATTACTGTGTTTGACCATGATGGAAAACACTGATGCTCTGTGGATTTATTCAGTCTCAACGCTGAGGCCTTGTGGGTCATTTTGACCCAAGGGTAGCAGGAGGGTTAACACCTATCAACATTTATTTTCTGTCTGTTGATTGTAGCTAAACTAATGGTTAAACCGGGGCTATTCAACTGGCAGCCCAGGGGCCAATTGAGGCCCATAGGTGAATTCAGTTGGGCCCACCAATGGGTTCATTTTTAAATAAAACTAGATTTTAAACCATAAAACTAACTTACTTAATGACAATAACTGCTGGATGTCCGGCCCCTGATTCTTGGCTTTCAGCAACTATGACCCCTGAGCAGTTTAGTTGAAAGGCCCAGGGTTAAACCAATGTGTGTTTCTAAGAAGAAAAATGTTAGAAAAATGCTAACTTTATAATAAAGTTGTATATGAAACGATAAACCATCCTTGCTGCTGTGTTGTTTAGATAATTTGTGGTGCACAAAGAGAACATGTTGCAGCATTACTTCTGTTTTCCTTTGTCAGCATTAAAAATGTTTCCTCTAACCAGTGAGATGTGTTTGTCTCTGCTTTGTGGCCTGTTTTCTTTTTTCCCCCTTCTTTTTGAGTTGTAAACTGACATCCCTTGTCAATTCTCCAGCCAGCGTTACTGCATCTGTAACCCCACGGTGGTGCGACAGTTCAGGAACCCTGACACCATCTTCATCCTGGCCTTTGCAATCATCCTCCTCAACACCGATATGTACAGCCCCAACGTCAAGCCCGAGAGGAAAATGAAACTGGAAGACTTCATCAAGAATTTAAGAGGTAAAAAACAGCTAAGATGTAACAATGTTTTAGATGGTTAACACATTTGTTGATACGTGGCAGAACATTTCACTCAACTTGTCCCCTTGCAAGCTACTAAGAAGTTGTGTAAAGTTTGACTTTCCTCATCTCAAATAAAACCTGATATTCTTGCCTAGACGGAGCATTTAAAGCAGACTCGACTTTCTAATTGACCAAAAAAATTGTTGGCGGCTCACAAGCTTGCTGTAATTCATCCAATCGAAGAGGAAGCTAAAATCCTGCCCTTCGTTTGCTTCATAAAACTCAGTGAAAAGGTTAATCAAAGGCTTGTTCAAAGAGAGGATGTTCCAGAAGTTTGATTGGCGAGTGCAGATTGTTTAATGGCATCAAATCATCCAGCATAATTAGTGGTTCTGTCAACGGCTGCCTACACTGCAAAGCAACCAGCAGTAACAAAGAAAAGGGAAGTCAGACCTATTGGAAAGATAAATTAGAGGAGCGTCAGATAAGAAATGCAGTAAAATGTGGTTACAGGTGTTTTCAAAGCTTGATATTTTCTTGCAGCAGAAAGCTGGTTGCATTTCCAAAAATCAGAATCATATTTAGCATTTCTAATGGATTGCTGGTGATGAGTTTCATAGTAAATGTAGGAATACAACCAATACATTTGTAATTCATATATCTTACCATGTCTTGGTAGAGTATCAGACTCATGCATGTGCCTCTGCTCTTGTAGAAAACTCAAAAACGAGAGCCGTATATTCTGATTTTCCCCTACTTTGTAACTGAGTGAACCTCTTGTCTTGTATGTGGTGCGGTAACAATGAGTTTCATGTGTTTCAGGTGTGGACGATGGAGAAGACATACCCCGGGACACTCTGGTTGGCATCTACGAGAGGATCCGTAAGCGAGAGCTCAAGACCAACGAAGACCACGTGTCTCAGGTGCAGAAGGTGGAGAAGCTGATTGTGGGAAAGAAACCAGTGAGTACTGCTGACTGTCTTTTCTGTTCAAATCATAGAGATGTTAGACTTTTTTTGTTGTCATTTCAGACACTCAGTGGTGTATCACTAGCCAGTCTTTTTAATCTAAACGTATTACAAAAAGTAGTTCTACCACTTGATCCATTATTCTGGTCTACAAATACAAAGGTTTGAGGAACAGAGGGAAGTAATCTCCTACATCTCCAAGTTATGTGTGGAACAACTTGCATTGGTTTAGACCTGGTGATACTAGCACACCCAAAGCCACCTTTGGCACTTGACACTGTCTCAACTCTCATTGGTTCCACACCGCACCAGCTAAGGGCCTGCTCACTGCCGGTACCCCATCCCACCGACTCATCCCAGTTTATGGGACCATCTTGTTCGTGGTTCCAAGCGAACTGCTTTGAGGTGCAAAGTTTTATGTAAGCAGACAGCAGCTGTTGATTGGCCAGCGGAGCTATGTCACCGGAAGACACCCCCAGCAAAACTGAAAACTACATCTGAACCTCCACTTCCTCATCGTGTTGACTGACAGCACCACAAGAAATGAGCACATTTGCAGAGAGATATCGGAGGTGATGGAGCAACATTGCTACACCCAGACTTATAAGCAGTGCCGGGATAAGATAAAGAAATTGAAGTCTGATTATAGGACCATTAAGGACAACAATGGGCAGAGTGGCTCAAACACAATGACCAGTTTGCCTTGACGATCCCATCCACAGAGTGGGGAAGCAAGTGATGGTAGCAAATCACCTACACCTGAGGAGAACTGATGATGAGAGCCGAGTGGAGTTGCACCTATCAATAGCAAAGTGGCTCTAGAGGTGCTCCTTAGTGTCTGCCACCACCTTAGCTCATTCTACGTCCAGTTTTAGAGGAAGTGGAAACTGCAGCGCCATTGCACACTAAAAGTTTACTTCCCCTCGCAGCTTCAGGGAGAGGCTTAGCTCACATGGTCAACTTTGTCTGATTCGACTCTCAGATGGAGTTTCCTCTGCTGAGGCGGATTTAATTAAATATGTTGAGAATGAATTCTTCGTTGCCTCTCCGCCGTGTAATTAAAGACTCTTGGTGCGTTACTCTGGCATTAAGACATGTAGGAATTCCTCTTCATAATTATCAAGTCCAAGTGGGTTTTCAAGGGAGGTCCACTGTTTATTTTCTCATATTTATGCATTATTTTTCATTTAACAGAACCAATGGGCTCAGTGCATCTTCCTTGCCATGTTAATAAGAACACAGTCTTCAAGGGCAACTTTGTATACAGAAAGATTAGATTTTTATGTTTGTGAGAAGTAACCATGTAAATAATTGAAACGTAACCTTTGCATAAGGCTGTTTTTGTCCTCTATCCTTAGATCGGATCGCTCCACCATGGCCTGGGATGTGTAAGTGGTCTAATAAATATTCTGCATCTGAATAGCTTCCCAAATCAGTCAAAGATTGATGCTAGGATAACCTCTGGGTATTTTATTTTTTTAGGTGTTGTCATTGCCTCATCGTCGCCTGGTGTGTTACTGTCGCCTATTTGAAGTGCCAGATCCCAGCAAGCCCCAGAAGCTGGGCCTGCATCAGCGGGAGATCTTCCTGTTCAATGACCTCCTTGTGGTAAATGCCCTCATCGTATATTTTAGTTTTCCTCCCCTCTTCTTTGTCTCCTTTTCTTCTCCAGAGCAACTCTTTAATACATTTCTTTTTTATGATTTCAGATTACCAAGATTTTCCAGAAGAAGAAGAATTCAGTCACGTATAGCTTCCGACAGTCCTTCTCTCTGTACGGGATGCAAGTGATGCTGTTTGAAAACCAGTGTGAGTAACTGATTCCTTTATTTTCCAGCCTGCAGCCGAGGTTTGATGAAGCGCAGCATGTTGTTTGTGCTCTCCAAACTTCAGACAGAGTCGCACGATGTGTTTTTGCTTGGGTTTTGATTTGTGACCCTTCTTAGTAAACGTCTGTTTGTCTTCGCCTTAGATTACCCAAATGGAATCAGACTCACGTCGGCAATCCCAGGTGCGGACATCAAAGTGCTCATCAACTTCAACGCGCCCAACCCCCAGGACCGCAAGAAGTTCACAGATGACCTGCGGGAGTCGATCGCCGAGGTTCAGGAAATGGAGAAATACAGAATAGAGTGTAAGACCTTCCCCCATTCCTGCCTTTTCCTCCTCCTGGATAAATGAAACAGAAATGGCACGGTCCTCATTCTTCATCCGGGGTTCACCATCAAGCTGTCTGAGGGGACGCCATTTTGTTCTGAACATTGAAAAGTGCTGTTGCACTTAGGAGCAGGACGATAAATGCTATTTTCACCTGCGGCCGAAAGGGCAAAAGTGGTTTTTGCTCGTGTTTGTGCCGTTTGTGTTACCAAAATATTTCTTAAACCACTGGATGACATTTTAATGAGATTCTCAGACAGTAATTACTGGATGCACAGTTTTTTTTAACCCGTCCAGAGGACCAGACTTAACTTTTTTTAGATTTTTCTACCTGGATGCATCAGGATACTGGATGTACAGCTACAACAGATTGACTTTCAGTTCAAGATGGCTGCCACAGCCAACTTACCATAAACAAAATGCAACAGGCTCTAACTCAGAGTCCATTTCACAGATATCAACCTATAATTTGATGTGGTAGTAGCTGAGACTGATCCCCCTAACACATTTTAAGCACAAAGAGCTTTGTTTGAAACTTTGCCATTAACTTTGTGAAGTCCGCTTCATCTGTTTGTTAGCAAAATATCTCGCAAATCACTGAAAACATTTTATTTAAATGTTCATGAAATGATCATTGGATGTTCAACTCATTTACTTTTGGAGTCAATGTCAATTTAAGATGGCCATTGGATCAGCCAACACAAAAACGGCTGTGCCTCGGTCACTTTTACCGATCATAAGCTAAAACGTTGATGTGGTAGTAGCCGAGATTCATTAACAACACATACTATGAGCTCGACATCTTGTGATTGTGCATAACTTTAGTTTTAATGTCTGACCTAATCCTTCAAGAAGCACCAGGCCTTTAACTTATATCTGTATGGCTTTTTAAACTCGTGACAGAAAAGTTTACGATCATTGCACGGTCGGCGGGAGATGCAAAGTCGCTGCCACTCACCTGACTGTTTTCATGACTGGTTTCCACAGCCGAGCTGGAGAAGCAGAAGGGGGTGGTGAGGCCCAGCATGTCGCAGAGCTCTGGCCTGAAGAAGGAAACTGGAAACGGGAGCATGAACCGTGCCAGTCTGGACGACAGCTATGCCATGGGCGAGGGCCTGAAGAGGAGCGCCCTCAGCAGCTCTCTGAGGGACCTGTCTGAAGCAGGTATAGCCTGAACCTCCTCTTTTTGTAGCAGCTGGTTTATATAGAAAGGGTCCTCCTTTTATCATCCTTCTCTCTGTGAGGAGTTTAGGGGATAAAAATAGCAAAATGTTGATCCACTGCACCATACATTAATTTGAAAGCTCTCTTCGTTAACTCCATTAACTCCCTCGTGATTGGATGGTTTGGTCTGGAAGGGGTTCCTTTAACTTTTGATTTTTGGCAGCTTCTCTAAGAAACAACATCAATGGAAACTACTCGCTTATGTTCATTTGAATGCATTTTTCCCCAAAATGTTTTCATCAACGTTTTGATCTTATTTTGTTTAAATTATGAAGCCTTTTTTGCATTCCTGAGTTTGTTATATTCAATGACATTTCATAAAAACTTAAGTTTTAGCCAGAAATCATCTGTCTCCTGTCAACTATAGAGGCTGTACGCTTTGCTTAATAACATTACGTGGTCTGTGTTTACTTGTGTCGTTGGACGGCAAAAACTTCTTGTTGTTAGTTCATCACCTGGTGGAATTCCTGTTAAAAGTACTAGGTTTTCCACTACAATCAGCTAAATGATTATCCCATGCTTGGTACAAAGCTGTACGAAACAAAACACCAACCTTTCCATCGTTCAAAGAACAACCCCTATCTGAGGTTAGACAGATCCAGTGAGCTCAGTCCTGCTTGGACTAAACTGGGCTTAGTATGACTCCACTTGCACTTGATTCAGCAAAAACACTCTTGTTTGGTACCTTATACACATCTATGTATGTTAGCTATCCATTTATTAGCCGGTTGTATTTGTCACAGGCCTGGTAACCCTTGACGTCCTCCTTTGTTTAATACGATGGTCAGTTGATGACGTAGTTGCGGTGGTCTGGATAGACAAAGTTTGGTGAATCCTTTGTGACTTTAGTTGAATCTCTCTGAACGTCTTGGATGGCCCTTTGTGGGCGGCTGTGGCTGAGTGGTTAGAGCAGTCGTCCTCCAATGCAAGAGTTGGGGGTTCAAATCCACCAGCAGTCACATGCCCAAGTGTCCCTGGGCAAGACACTGAACCCCTCATTGCCTCTGATGTGTGTCCCATTGGTGTAAGAATGTGATAAAGCTCTGATTAGTCTATTTAGAATGATTTGTTCAATTGGCTTTGTAGAGATCTAGTAGAGTGCTGTATGAATGTGTAAATGAGGACACAGATTGCGTTGTAAAGCGCTTTGAGTGTCTGGATAAGATAGAAAGGTGCTATATAAGTACAGTCCATTTACCTTTTACCATTTAACGTACAGGACATTCCCCATGAAGAAAGGAGTGACGTGTCAGTGCCTTATGTTTCTTTGTAAGGAGGAAGTGTCTCACTGGGCTGCGATTGTCGGAGACTTAAATTTGCAAGAAAATAGGCAATGTTGCCATCGCAGTCCCTTGAGTGGCCAGTTCTTATAAACACGTGCTCTATTTTTGAGCACAGTTTGCAAAGCTGTATTCTAGACCAGTGGTGCTCAATGCTGGCCTTGAGGGTCACTCCTCTGCATGTTTTAGTTGTTTCCCTGCTCCTCAGCAGGTCTTCAAATTCTGCAGAAGCCTGTTAATCACTCATTGATTCAACTCAGGTGTGTTGAAGCAGAGAGAGAGATGTAAAATATGCAGGTTCGTGGCCCACAAGGGCCAGGACTGGGGAACGCTGTTCTCAGACGTGCAAATTGTTTTGATGCCCACCTTCACCCACATGATACCTGCCTCGGCAGGCCCCCCTTATGTTTCAGATTGGAGTCAACTTTTGAAATAAAGGTAGACTCATTTGGACAAGTTTTTTGCTAATGGTTTATCAGCTTTGAGAACACTGTTCACCAACTAGTCACAAATAGTTGTGTTTAGAGAGTTCTCCCGAAGCTTCTGTTAGCGCCACATTGCAGTACTTTTAGACCGTCGTCTTGGGTTAATCTTCGGGAAACGATGGAAAGGCCAGTTCGGGTCATCACCTGGATGATTTGTGCAGCCCTGCACTGAGCGTAATCTAAACATTTAGCTGATTTTAGTGGAAAAATTCACAGAAATCGCACAAGGTGATGACGTAAAGAAAGTTTTGCCGTCCAACGTGGCAAGCGATCATCAACTCTGATCCGAGCTGGACAGCCTCTGTAAGCAAATGTGAATGTTCAACATTCTCGAGCAGCAACAAGATTTTAGTCTCTTGTCCGTTCCATATCCATGTATATCAGTGTGATGCTGTCTCTGTCCCTCGGAAGCAGGAATACATTTCATCCATCCCAGACAGCAGCTGTGTGACGTTATCAGATGATTGACTTGATAACACAGTGAAACCCAGTCTGTCTCTCAGCTCGGAACATGATTTTTCTTTTGTCACCGCTTCAGTGGGAAACGAGTCAAAACATGAGGAAGTTTGTAGACATCTATCTGCCCTCCTGTCTCCTGTGTTTTTCAGTGCAGGATGTGGCATGTTAGTGAAATCATTTTTTTGTTTTCTTTCCTGCCATACTCCATTCCATGTGCATTTTAATGTCCATACACATCAGGTATTTTCCTGTCTATGTGTAATTATTGGTCATATATCACTGACTGAGTGAGCCTCAGAACAACTGCCCTCCCTCAGACCCAGATCTGCCCACACGCCCCGCGCGCAGCAGCCACTGTATTGCTTTTGATACTCGGACTGAGCCAACACTTGACCTCGCTGACATCCTGTCGACATGCTTCCTGTGCACCAACCTTGTGGCAGGACTGTAGATGCAGGCAGCAGCCTTGGGGTGACGCTTCAGAGAACGTGAGATTTATCTGAATCCTTTCTCAATTTGATCAGACCCAACACTCAAAGTGTGCGTTAAATTCAAAATAGCTGAAATTGGAGTTTCCTCTTGAGTGAAGCTTTAGCTTCACCGGAAAAGCCCCACCTGCCCACCACCACCTTCTCAGACCTGATGCCCTCCCCCGCCCGTCATATTTCCACTGCACCGCCCCCCCTCTTACGGGACTGGTGGGAGGCCTAAAAGAAATGTCTGTAGTCGATCCAGAAGTGCTGTCGATCTCTAATATTTGGTATTGCATGTCTCGGGCAGGCAAGCGGGGGCGTCGCAGCAGTGCAGGATCACTAGACAGCAATATGGAAGTAAGTTGGAAGCAGCTGGTATCCGAGCTACTCTCTATGTGATGATGTGCACTGTGAAACACTCCATTTATTTTTGGTCTTACACCTTTTTTGCTCCATAGACTCAGTCCATTTGTTTGGATCATTTTTATTTATTTTCTTGATGGGATGCCTTATAACCTGCTTGCCTCAGTTAGTGTGCATGCATGGGTTGCCTGCCTCTGATCCTGCCCCTACTTTTTTATTTATTTTTATTCAGAGATCTCCTGTTTTGGTCATGTTATATGACCAATATACACTTTACCCTCATACAAGCATGACTCCCACTAATGCCTCCTCTGATCTCTCCCCCCACTCTCCTTGTCGCCTGTCTCCGTCTCTCATTCGATCACATCCAAGCAGTTTTCATTTGGTTCTTCTCTTTGGCAGGGTGGTAGCTCTGAAAGACAGTAGGAAACTCTTCATTTCCTGCAGCCCCTCTCCCTGTCTGGGTCTGTCTTTTTTCTCTCTCTCTCTCTCTCTCCCTTATCCACAACTTTTCTTGGATGCTGTGAGGTTCAGGGAGGAATGTAGCCCTCATAATAAGAGATGGGCTTCACATGGGCTTAGAAAGAAGTGAATTTCATTCATTCATTTTGCACTCATTTCACACGATCATGAGTTCAAGCGGTATAAAGTCTGGGACCTTGGAAATTTTACTCTGCTTTCAGAGACTTTAGTTTACAGTGTTAAAAAAATAATTAGGTAACAGTGTTGGACCTCAAACAGGAGGCAGAGTGCCCTGCGTTGTTGTGAAGTCTGCACACGAGTGCTCAGTTCCTCCTGCCCTCTGACTTGTAGTTGACTGTGTGGATAATGAGTTGCCTGCCACACCCTCTGCATGTGGAAACCATGCCTTCATTAATAAAGCACCAGTTTGCATGTGTTAGGGTTCGGCACGTTGAAGCTGAAACGTGCCGTTTTTGGAGCCGTTAGTGCCATTAATGATGCTCATGAACGTACTTGTGTTGCAGAGTTTCCTGTTTTGAGACCTAACAGCAGTTTCTTTGAATGTGGCCTCCCTCTTGTTTTTAAGGTTTTCCACAGCTGAAATCCTCATGCTGCTGCCTTTCATAAAAACATTTTATTTTCTTTTAGTTTGTCATTTGCATGCCGTGTAACATTTTGCTACTTCTTTATCTGAATTAAGAGAACGGGGTTTGTCTGGGCTGTAGCTCATTAGGCGTAGCGGAGAAGCTGACGGATGTTTTGTCGCCTCGTTTCTCTCCTGCAGGGGTCCATCATTAGCAGTCCACACACCCGGCGGAGAGCGACCACGCCACGAGAGGGCTCCTCCCGTGCCCATCCCCCCATCCCTAACTCGGCGTCGACGTCCATCCTCGGGTCGCTCTTTGGCAGCAAGCGAGGGAAGCCGTCGTCTCAGAGCCAGCCACCTTTAGCGCCAGGCGGCCACCCCACCCTCATATCGCACAAGCCCCACCCGACCAACCTGCACCACACCGCACAGGCAGCACACGTGGTGCAGTCCCAACACCACGGCCACCACTCCCAGTACTGTCCGGCCCCGCAGAACCCCCCGCCTTACCACCACCACCACCACTACCACCCGCCGCCGCACACACAGTACCACCTGCACCCGGCCTACTCCTCGCACGCGCCCCCGCATTCGCAGCACAGCCACTACGGCCAGCACCCGCACCACCCGTCCCACTCCCACCACCACAGTCAGCAGGCGGGTCCGGCGCACGGCGGACCCAAACACAAACACAGTGGCATCAGCACCGTGGTGTGATGCTGCGGACGAACGCAGAGAGGAGGACTGTACCGAGGAAGGACAATTGCTCACACCAAAGGGACTGACAGCATGACTCTATGGCCTGTCCACTGTGTTTCAGCTGCTGTGATGGGAACCAGTCACACGCAGTCACCATCCTCACTTCCAGCTCCAACCAATATGCAGAATAGGAATCGGACTCAAATCTTCCAATAGGGGCCTTTTTCAGTTTGCCTGATTTGGGGACCTTCACAGCTCCCGTCAGGGCTTTATTTTTTATTTGTGCGTGTTGGTAGGGGTTGGGTCTGCACACACACATGCACACACAAACACCGCCCCTCTGGACCGCTAAAGAGGAAATGTGTCGTCTCTGCTCCCCGCTGCCTCGACCTCCGACAACCCGTTTTACCTTCACATAATCAGGAGGAGCGACGGGCTCAGACGAGAACACGACTGACTGTTTTCTTGTGCACAGCTCTTCGGTTTGCAGATTTTTACCGTCAGGAGAACGCTACGAGTCGTCGCCTCCCGTAGAGCTCTTATATAGCGGAAAAACCTCGATATAATCATTTCACACTAACTGCAATCGAAGGACAGGTAAACAAGTCATAGTAGTTCTAGTTGCTGTATTTACTGTAGATGACTGCTATATGTCCTGTGTCCTAGCTCCCATAAATAACTGTGCCAATATTAATGCATAATCTATTTAGTCAAGACTTTATGTACAGTGTATTGTGTGTAAAGTAATTTGTAAGATTATACTTACAATTATTATTGGCAAACGAGACTTTTATCAGTATTATACTGACTCTGTGGTGACAGGATGGAGATCTGGAAGGAGGGAGCTCCCATTCAGTCCAGCCTAGAATCGGTTTTGGAGCCTTTGTTTTCCCCTTTGGCGGGAAAAAGAGCCTTTGGGTTGTAGCTGTCGCATATTGGCCTGAAGCCTCAAAGCAGACATTTCTTGTAAACGAAACCTCGCGCACTGACGCTGCTCGAAAGAAGTGGCCGACGGCAGCGTTAAGAGCTTCTCAACTTGTTACATTTGGCCTCAAAGGAAAATTGTCATTGTTGCCTTTGAAATATGCAACGTCTGCATTCATGGCTCTTGAAATCCAAAATTTATTATTATTTGGGTTTTGGTTTTTTTTGCCTTGTATGAATTAGTTTTTTTCATCCACCAATGGGATCTGGTGGGTGATGAGTTTGTTTCGTCCCTTATTATATGTGCAATATCTTCGTACTGATTTTGTACATCAAGAGCTAACGAGGTCTCCCTCCTGTTTGTGCGTGTTTTCATGTCACTAGATATATTTATTTATTTTTCGACCCCCCGTCCAAGTCTCTCTGTAAATTAACGTCCGTCTGTCCTCCCTTTGTCCTGCGAGGGTCGCAGGCCTGGAGTTCTTGAGTTCATGTTGCATGTGATGTTCTTGATGTGAGGCTCTCCTCTGCACATTGTTTAAACGAACCAGTGTTACCATAGAAAGTTCAAGTGCAATCATGTTTTGAAGCAAACAAACAAAAAAAACACAGACTTGTGCTTAAGAGTGGAGGTCTGTATACCAGGATGAGATTCAGGTGAGGAAAAAGTAGTTTTTGTTTGTTTAGAGCTCTATAAATACTTAGTTGAGAGTGGAAAGAAGAATGTGTGTATATATTTTAATAAAACGGAACATACTGTATGCCTGTTTGGGCTGAACAGAAATATTTTGCAGGACAAGCACATACAGAAGAACTTTTTTTTTTTCCAGGAAATGCAGTTATAACGTACAAAATGCAAGCTGAGCAAAAGAACTAGGCAGATGTAAAAAAAATAAACTATCTTTCTATATTCTACAGATAAGAGTCTATTCTAGTGTGTAAATTAGTGACGGTAAACTGTTCGTCCCAATATTCAGGTTGTAAATGTATTTTAATATTCATGACGTAAAAATCCACGCTCGTGACTCGAGCTTATACACCTTTATTTTTTTGTTCCCGACCAGAACCAACCAGAACCCGCTTAGATGAGCAGACATATCTCTACAGGGACATTAATGATCAGCTGAATGTGTCTTTAAGGCTTTCATTTTGTTGCTTTATTTCTAAAAACCTCGGAACGAACGGAAACCGGTGCATCTGTTTTTCTTTTCTTGTTTTGGTGTGTGTTGTAGTGCTTCGAACGTCTACGGTCATTCTTGGTAAGAGCGTCCCCCCCCCCCCCCCCCGCTCCCACAATGCACTGCATGGATCTGATGCGTCCTGTTCACTGTGAGCTGATGGGGAAGAAATCAGCCTATAAATTTGAACTGTTTTGTGGGGGTGGTTGGCTGGGTTCTGATTTATTTGGAACTGTTGATGTGTTTTTGTTGTTCCATGTTTGCCTGGTAGTTATTGAAGCTCAGCATGCATTTCATCCACAAAGCCATCGTGTAAATGACAAAAACGCGACGAGCGCTGCGCTTCGTCGCCGACGGCTTTCGTTGTGTAAATAAGAGATTTTGACGTGCGAGCCGATGAACTGCTTGGCAAGAGAGTTTAACTTTACGAAGACTGTAAAGGGACCAAAATGGGGCTGAAGGAGTTGTACATAATGTCTATAGGATCCATTCTGATACCTGCAGCTCAGACGGAGATGTAAATACATGGCCTCATGGGCGGATGAAGTGCTGATTGAACATATCGATTGTCTTTGCCTCCAGCTCTTGTACACCGACATTTGCTGTGGAAATCAAAAACAGACTGTTAGAAAGTGTGCTACCATTCACGTCCAGCTCTACACACACACACACACACACACGGTACACACACGGAGAAATGTGCACGCATTCGGCTGCGAGCTGTTCAGTCTGCAGTGAGACGTGTTCTGAAGAATGGCAATGACAGGAAGGCCTCATTTAAATGTGCATTCTGTTTGTACAGTGAATAGTGAGTCAGTAAGACCCCAGTTATTGTAAAACTTCAACTGTGACAATGTTGAGAACGCAAAATAAACGAATATATGACTTATGGTACCCTGGCTGGTGTTGTCTTTGTGTTGGACTTCATGATCTGTCATAAAACTGAGCACAAGACGGTTTGTCTGTTTCTTCTATAACACATTAATTTCATCTGTATCTTAAGAGTGAAGCAGTAATTTAATATTTTTTTGTAACAAAGGGATTTTCTAATTCACTGGTTACTCCTGAGCCTCAGTTGACACAAGCTCTACTCCACGTGCAACATGTTGCAGAGGAAATGCAGTTTCTGCTCAATGCAGCGTGAATGCTGAGAGCTGAAACGTCCCGAGAAAGATGAATCTGAGTTACAAAAGCTAAAAGAATCAGAACTCTAGCTGTGCTACACTAGCAATGGAAAAACAATAGCTAAAATTATCAAAACTAGCAACAAAAAAAATGCTTGCTAAAATCTAATTGTAGCAAAATGGTAGTTAAAATTAGAGAAACACCACAAGCATGTCAGGATGCTAGAAGTAAAAAGTAAAAGTAGCAAAACTGGTTTAAAACATGCAAAGGCTATCTAAAATCTAAAAAAGTGCTAAACTTTAGCTAAAAGTAGTAAATTGTGAAAAGTACAGACCCTTTCCAAAAAATTAGAATATCATGGAAAAGTTGCTTAAGTTCCATAATTCCATTCAAAAAGGTAATCTTTAATAGATGATAGATTCAGGGCCCACAATTTAAACAATTTCAGGTATTTGTTTATTTTTACATAATTTGGACTTCCAGCTCATGAAACACACGAAAACAGGATTTCAAAAAATTAGAATAGTGTGAAGAAATCAGCCCAAATTATGCAGGGCATGAATCTTTTACTAAACTCAAAGCACCTGCAGGGGGTTCCCCAGGTGTCATTAAATTGATTCAATTTGGTTCAATTGTCTCAGTTCAGTTCAATATGGGGAAGACTGCAGACATAACTGGCCAGAAGACCATCATTGACACCCTCCATAGGATGGGTAAGCCACAAAAGTTCATAGCTAAGGAGGCTGGCTGTTCACAGAGTGCTGTGTCCAAACACATCAATAGAAAGTCTAGTGGAAGGGCAAAATGTGGCAGGAGAAGATGCACCAGCAAAAAGAGATGACCGTGGGCTTCAGCAGATTATCAAACAGAGAAGATTCCAGAATCTGGATGAGATCCAGAAAGAGTGGAATGAGGCGGGAGTCACAGCTTCAAAAACCACCACATTCAGACACATCCAGGAGATGGGCTACAACTGTTGGGTTCCTCGAGTCAAGCCACTTCTGAACCTGAGCCAACGTATCTGTTTCCAATGAAAGTAAAGTGTGCCTTTCATTCAGAAATCAAGGTCAGTATTAAAACAGTTAAAGACCTGAAATATTTCAGTTGGTGTGCAATGAATCTGAAATATATGAAAGTTTCATTTTTATCATTACATTCTGGAAAATAATGACCTTTATCACAATATGCACATTTTTTGAGAAGGACCTGTATTAGTGTTTTAGGTTCTTTTGCCTCATAGAACACGTAACATTTAATAATCTGTGGTGTTCAGCAGCTCATGAAGTTATTTAACTTCAAAATGTCTCATTTGAAACCCAGGACTATTCAGCTCAGTTGCTCAGGGAGCCACAGGTACTGAAATCCAACAGCTCGGGCCGGACGTCCAGCAATTAGTCATTACGTACATTTAATTTATGATTTCAAACCTTTGACTCCATCTCTGATCAACCTGAGACCCTCAAGTGAACGAGAACTCAATTTTACACCTGAAGGGGGATTTAAAAAGAACTTTTCATAAGCAAATTAACAACTGAACCACATGTGTTCATTTATCTGACTTTAGATCGTTTTCTTTATTCTTATTTCCAAGCAGTTTTCCTTCCATACTGCAACATTTCCACTAGAGGGAGTGGATTAAATTCAAATTTACAGTAGAGGAATCAGTCAGCCTGTGCCATTACACCACCTACTGTTGATCAGTCTGCACGTTTCCTCTGGTGAAACTGGAAAATCATCCCTGAGATACGCCTCTGATAATGACTTTTTTTAAATTGTAGTTGTATTTCCATTACAAAACCACTAATCTAACGGCACTAGCAGTACATGTTTGAGCAAAATGATATGAAAAATCTGAAACACGCAGGTCCAGGCCCCACTAAGGCCTGCAGTGGGTGTTAATCCAGCGAGAAAGAGCCTCTGTGGCTGTTTGAGCTGATAACCTCTTATCGTCTTACAGCAGACGGGTTTCCTTCATGTCGTGAACCCTTTTTTTTTTTTTTTTTTTGGTGCATTCCTCTCTCTGTCGCCACTCAGTACACAGTGTTTTCTGTGACCGAGCTCGGTTACTAAAAAAATATAGAGAAGAATTTGTAAATACTTGAAAAGCTCTAATGGTACTCGGAACGTGTGACACGGCGAGATTATAAGGATGACTGGCATCATGAGAAGTAATCTGGAGGCTCTTAAAGGTTTGTGTTCTTTATTCCACAAGTTACATTTTTTATTTTATTTTCTTTAACGTACGCGTGATTCCGTCTTGTTTAGTGCTTTAACATCTACAATTCCTTAAAAAAAAAAAAGTTTTTACATACCCATTGAAATTTTCCACACATTGCGTGAAAACGAGGTGTTTTCAAAATAAAACTGTAAAAAAGTGTCTGTGGAACTCCAGGTCTTTTGGGGTTTGTCTCCACCAGCTTTGCTCCTCTACAGACCAACGTTTTTGCCCATTCTTACTTTAACTATCTCAAGACGGACCAGATGGAGCGTCGTCATCTCAGTTGGATTTGGGTCTGGATTTAGACCGGGTCATTTTAAACTAAAGCAAGAATTAATTGGATTCAATTTAGTTTATTTACATAGTGCCAATTCACAAAACATACATAAAAAGCCAATTAGTAAAGTTCTTCATCTAAAGAAATCAGCAGATTTCGTTGAATCGTCACTTAGTCACAGTCTCTCTCCCATCCTGAGCAAGCACAGAGGCAACAGTGGAAAGGAAAAACTCCTTTTTAACAGGAAGAAACCTCCAACAGAACCAGGCTGGGGACGAGCGGCCATCTGCTTCGACCAGCAGGCGTTTGAGGACAGAAAGTAGAAACAAACAGAATGACACGTCCAGCTGTACTTTTGATTGGAAGAAAGACAAAAAAACACGTTCAGATAGAAATGATTACAAATACAAACTATTCATTTGAGGAAAGTGGTGAACTCTGAAGAGTGTACTGCAGGACTGCTGTCCTCCAGTAGTCTAAGCCTGTAGCAGCACAACTGAGGCATAGCTCAGGAAACCAAGCCAACCCCAACTATAGGATTTATCAAAAATGAAAGAACCCATTCCTCTGTAGCTCTCACTGGATGTTTCATGTCGTCCTCCTGGAAGGTGAACCTCCACCTCAGTCTCAAGTCTTTTTAGGCTGTAACAGGCTCCATCCACCTTCACATCAACTCAGACCAGCTTCCTTGTTTCTGCTATAGAAAAGCATCCCACAGCATGATGCTGCCACCGCCATGTTTCACAGTGAGGACCGTAGTAGTTTTCCAGTTCAGTTCTGGTCTCATCTGATCCGAGTAGTTTCTTGTTTGTTGTTCTTCTTGGCCGCTCCTTCATAAAGGGCAGGTTTGTGGACTAACGGGTGTCCTGTGGACAGATTGTCCCACCTGAGGTGTGGATCTCTGCGGCTCCTCCAGTCACTGTGGGGCTCCTTGTCTGCTTCTCAGATTAAAGGTCTCTTTTCCCGGCCTGTCGGTTTCTGACCATCTTGGTAGGTTTGCAGATGTGTTGCTTTTGGACGGCAGACTAAACCGAGCTCTGTGAGATGTTCAAAACACGGGATTTTGTTTTACAACCTCCTTTAAACATCTTAACAACACTATTCATTAACTTTCCGGTGTATTCCTTGGTCTTCATGATGCTGTTTGATCACTAATGTTCTGTAACAAACCTCTGAGTCCTCCATTGGGTTTATGTTGTGATGAAATTACTCACAGCTGGACTTTATTTACTAAAAGAGTGACTTTTAAAGACGACTGACTGCACTGGATTTTAAATCGGGAGCTTTTTAGAGATTTATCCGTACAGAGAATTTTGTCAGATTATAATCTGTGCTGATCTAACACAGCGGAATGCAACCTTTTTGATCAAAAGAGCCATTTTTACCCCTTTGCTCACTAAACAAAATGTCTCCAAAGCCGCAAAACCTGCTACAATATCAACTGGTGGCCCATGGGCCACTTCAAGTTTGTTGGAAGGGGTTTTTCCAAACGGTGGGTGAGGTATTATAAAACGTAAATTATATAATCAATTTGAACATTTATGGATATTTTTACATTTAAGGACAAAATACCATTTTCATTTAAATAAGGTAAAAAATATAGTGCAAAATATTAAGAGCCTGAACTCTGCAGGTTTACATCCCTCCTTTTTATTTTTGGGGAAAACGTATGAAGTATTTTGAAGTAATAAAGCATATGTGAAGTGTTTGTTGGCTATGTAATTGTGCTTTATTAAATTTTTAATTTAAAAACAAAATTGTTTATTTACTTTGACTTTATTATGTTTAATTGTTTTTATTGTTATGGACTCACCGTACAGTAGTTCCTCTAAGCAACAGGTCCTAAATGTTTTCCAAAGAATTTCTGGTGGATTTGAGAGAAGGATCCCACTGTAAGGCTGGATAAACGAAGCAGATACATCTGACCATTAAACATGTGCAGAAAAACTGCTCAAACTAGCCTTTTCTGTTGTGGGTTTAAAAATAATAATTAAAAAAATGTTTGTGTTAGCTTTGGTCAAAGCTTCAAGGAGCCACAGAACAGGGACCGACGAGCTGCAGACTCCTGACGTGTGGTTGTCCAAGTTTAATAAAGACATTAGTTCCTGTGCAGCTTGTAAAACATTTTCCCAGTTCTGTGTCATCCCATGTAACGTGTTTTTCCTCCTTCAGGATGCTGCCCTCCGGTTTAACCTTAGCGCTCCTCCTCCTGACCTCCTCCAGCGCTCACAGAACTGTAAAGTCCTGCATCTTTTCCAGGATCAAGCCTGCAGGGCTGCACGTCAACTGCAGCTCTTCCAACCTCATGGAGCTGCCCGACCTGCCTTCAGAGAGCACAGAACTCCACGTGCAGAACAACCGGCTCACCTCGGTGCCTCCAGGCTGCTTCGACAAATTACTGAGCCTGAACAAGGTCGTTCTGTCTCCAAACCCCTTCCACTGTGACTGCAGCATCCAGTACCTGAGGAGCTGGCTGCTGAAGAACAGGGCTGTCGTTTCAGAGGAGCCTCTCTGTTCCACTCCTGCATCTCTGGCTCAGAAGGCCATCTCTGAACTTCCAGACGACTCCTTCTCCTTCTGCTCTTTTCCTCGTGCGCATCTCATCATCGCCTCCAGCTGTGCTCATGTTGTGTACAACACCACGGCAGGCGTGATGCTGCTCTGCCTCGTTCTTCTGCTCCTCTGGAGCCTACACCTGGCCAGAAAATCCAGCATCACCGTGTGCCTGGATGAGAGGCACTCGGGATTTGAGGCCAACTCCCTGCGCTTCCTGAAGCCCAAACACAGGAGGAGGCTGCACACCGGACTGTCGGAGGCCACGGAGGACTCGGATCCTCAGTCTTGGTCAGAGGACTTGGAACGACCACTTATCGACATGGACTTACTGCCACAAGTGCTGGATGTGTTGCACAAGAAGCACAACATAAAGATAAAGGCTAGCTGAGGGACTTAGTGTCTGACACAAACACAGCAGAGAGGGACGTGGGAGCAGAAGGAAACTGGATTTTCTTCAGAGTTTTAACCAAAATAGATTTTTTTTTTATCCAAACTGCCAAAACTAAGATTCCTGAGACTCCACCAGTTTTTTTATTGCAAAGAAACAATTTATTTTAAGGAACTTAGTCTTTTAATAAACTTATCAACTTCAAGTTGCCCTCTGCGTTTACTGAGTAACGTGCTCTTTACAGCCTAACTTTTAAATGGATGGATGGATTTTTACATCTGCATTCTTTTATTTTAACAGGACCTAAAAAAAATGACAGTACACTCCTGGATTTATAAGATTTAAACTAAACACCAGTCCAAATTAAGAGCCCAGTAGTTCTTGAATGAATGCGTATCACCTTTCTTGTTTTAAACTGAGGTCATGTTTTGCTGAGACTGGACAAAGTTCTAGTCGTGTTGGTCGAACCCTGTAAATAACGTTACGCGCGACCTAATGCGAGACCCATTAGCTCCGACTCTCAGCTACTACCACACAATAAGTAGCCCAACATCAGTAAAACTGAAGTTAGTGTCGGCTGAGGTCACCTAACATCTTCAGATGACTTTTAATATGAAACGCAACCACAGAGTTTCACTCACATCCGTCCAGTGAATCATGGGATATTTTGCTAACACTACAGACAAGCGAGCACAAAAACGGCAGCGGGCGATTATTCAATATAACCTTACCTGTCAAAGTGTGCAGCATGGCTGTACAGGGACACGTTTCGATGATATAAAATGAAGTCCTGAACACATAAAGATGTAAAAGAGTTGTTTTCCTCCTTCGTGGTTCCTTCACTGTTTCTGTCTTCAGTATGATCCGTTCTTGAAGTCCTGGGTTTGTTTAGAATCATCTTCTGGATCGCTGTCCATCTTTGAAGCCCAGCTTCTAAACTTTGTTGCGTTCTGCTTCACGTTCCAAACCACCTGTCAGACTTCCTGTTGGCACTAACGATCCCGTCTCAAAGGAACTGGGCTCCCATGTCATGAAAACAAAGTTCCCCTAAGTTTTCCCCGATGTTTCCCAGAGTAAATCCTGAAATTCCAGGAGAGATTTCAGTCACATGAAACACTCCGAACTTAAGAGTCTTAGGTGTTGAGCAGTCACATTCAGAGATGACACTATATACTGGAGTACTACAGTACGTGCATACAGCAGTCATTCCTGATAATTATATCAGACACTAAAAGGCCTCCGTGTCCAGTCAGTAAGGACATGGTGTACATACATAATACAGTGCACTATAGAAGCAGAACATGGACTCATTGATGCTAGAGCACTAGCATTAGTACATGTTAAAATCTCTGAAAGATCACGTCGTAATCAGCAGATCAGTGTTCACATTCCCACTTTCTAGGATTTTTTCATGTATTTCTCAAATCCCCTGAGTTTCCAGAGTGCCAGGGAACCTTGAAGCCATCTTGTCGTTCTGCTCACGCCGTTCACATGAGGTTTTGTCTTTTGTTTGGAAGCTATTCCAAATCTTTTTTGTTTTGTTTTTTAATCATTTCCTCATTCTGCCACAAGTTAAAGTTCATTTAATCTGCTGAAAGAGCGCTGATCCAGTTAATCTGGTCTCACACAGATGTTCACCCAAGACTAAACTGGTCTGATTTGAGGTTTTGTGTAACACTGTACGACAAAACCATCATTTTTGTATTAGCAAAAGTTTTTTTTGTTCAGTAGTCCCACCAGGTGATGCGGTGCACCATGGGCAGACTTTATGTCCTGTTTCATATTCCCAGCTTGTTTTCAACTGGATGATTTGAAGCATGAGGATCAGTTTACAACGAAGTAAACCAGATAGACGATCATATCCTAATCCACTTATCTGAGATTAGGAGATTAAAAACAACTGGCAACATTTTTCACGTGAGTGGAAAGGAGTAGCACCTAAACACACAAAGACTCGTTTTATTTCATTTTATTCTTCAGTCTTTGGAGTTGGGATTTCAAAACCTAAACCACAAATAACACGTATAAATCTGTAGGCAAATGTTAATTTTATGAGGAAAAGTACTAGTTAAAACCTCTAGCTGGGGTTTTTACTTTTCTTCTTACACGTGAATAGTGTGAAAGGTCACTTCTGTCACTCTTATGGCTGTGGTGAGGATTTATTTTCTGTAAACAATAAAACAATCAGCAGCAGACACCAGCACCTTCACACGTCCTTAATGATTCCTTACTATGTAACTAAACTGAGTGCACGTCTGTTAATAAATGAATAAATATCTGTCTGTTTTGGGCCATTTCTCATCATCTTTAATCTTTACGTTTCAGCAAATGAAAAACTGGAATTTAAAAAATATTTTTCTAAAATCTAACTATCTGCATCAAAAATGACCAGAATCTTATTTTTGACAAGTTGTGGTTCCGTTTCAACAAAGAGGACACGTTTAGTCAGACTTGTTTGTATTTTTTAAGGTCAGCTGTTTACAATGAGTGATGACGGAGCGGTACAAGAAAAGCGCTGGATGTGGCTCAATGAACGTCTTGTTGGGTTTTGCCACAAAATCTGAGCGCTTCAACTTTAATTTGTGTACTCTTTAGTAAATATTTATAAACAGGATATGGCAGAAAAGCACTTAACATTAACCGAAGATGAAATATCTGTGCAAATACTGGCTGTCAGGCGAAAGGCGGACGTTACGTACGATCGGAGGACGATATTGCACATGGAACAGTTGGATTTACAGTCGAACTATGACTCAAGTTCATGCAGAGAAGATAACTGAGCAAACGCATCACTTAAAGTCAAATGTTATTTGGAATACACTTTCTAAAACACTGTGACAGTCTTGTAATAAATAGATGATTTGCAATAATCTAAAACAGACATTAAAAACAAAATAACTTGTAGGGTGAAATAAAGCTAACACATTTCTGTAGAGAGAAACAAGTAAAAACTAAAATATGAAAGAGCAGACAACAGTTACGTGACTAATGGTTTCTTAAATGCATCCTAACTGTTAGACGAGGACCTACTGGTGTCAATGTCCAGTTAATCCACAGTGTTTTGTTCCTACACATGAAGTGGTGTTTTCCCAGTTGGACCCCACAGAACCTTCGGGATTCAAATCTCTACTGAGGCACGAACTTCTCCTGCTCGAAGATGAGCTCGACAGCTTCCGCCACGTCCTTCACGATGTGGTCCGGCTCCACCAGCGCGGGGTCGAACCTGAAGTCGCGGTGCCCGTGGAACACAGTCTCTTTGATACAGCGGCTCGAGTCCGACGGCACCTCCGCATTGGGGTCGTACACCCCCGTGCAAACTAGAACAGACTTACAGGAAGTGGCCGAGGGCAGCGCCAGCTCGCTTTCCCTCAGGCTGTCGATCTCCTCCTCCCCGCCGGGCACCGCCGCGCTGGACCCGGTGGCGGCCGCCACCTTTGCAACAGCCTTCGGGTTCTTCCTAGCAGCTCTCTCCTCCAGGAAGCGGTTGTACAGATTGGCTCCGTATATATCAGTCATGAGGTTGTCTCTAAGGATGGAAGAAGATCAGTTTGTATGCAGGGCTTTCATTTCTGCTGCTCTGTCCACTGATGAAACTAAAACAAAAACTGGACAGGTTTTTAAAAAAATGAAGTGAAACATGCAGGACCATCACGTTTTAACCCACTTGATGGAAATTAAAACACGCATCACCTCAGCAGAAAGGCTTTGATTAAGTGTGGTCTCACCCTATAGCGTAAAGGGAAGTGATGGGAAGTTTCCATTGCCTCTGCATGGCCTGGCTTCTGATGAGGTGCTCTGCAAAATGGTAGGTCAGCTCGCTGGGTTTCCCCATGAGAGCCTCGTACTTCAGGTCCCTGCCCGTTATCTTCTTGTAGATGTTCTCCAGGCACACGAGGAACGTCCCGTGACCAAACCTGGAGCCAAACGAGACAGGGCTCACTGCTTTGCTCAGAACAAAATACAACCCGTTCAGGGACAGCTGGGACTTCTTTATTTTGATTTAAAGCGTTTACCTTGGAGTGTTGGCTTCAGCCATCCACATGAGGTCCATGTTACAGGCCAGAATGGGGAGGTGAGGCGTCGCTTGGGTTTGATGAAGACCACTGAGGTTACCGTTGGTCAGCAGAACGTCAGTTATCAGCTGCAGGTTGGTCTCCCATCGAATCGGCTCCCCGAACAAAATCACAGCTGTGTGAGAAGGTTCAACGATAATAAGTGATATCTAACACATCAGCCATGAAGAATCTAAGAGAAAACAAGAGGAGTTTGCCCTTACCTTCAACTTTAGGAAGGCTAACTACAGGACTGGACTGAAATTAAAAAAATAAAATAAAATTCTCAACACGTTCTGTTGTTTAGGTGGGTTCTCACTGGGCCGTGACTGTTGGCAATAAATTGCAAACTGTTTGCGAGAGTTTCCAAATATCTCAGAAGGTTTGCAGGGGTTCCTTGCGTGAGCTGTCAGGCCTCGCACTCGTGTCACTGGATTTTTTTTTAGCACGTTTGACAAATTTGCAAGATAAAGTTTCTCTGTAACCTCGGAGGTGGCAGCTGCCACTCTGTAGTCTCGTTAATGTATTTTTGTACAATGTTAAACGTCACCACAGAGCTTCAAACTCAAACATAACTCACTGATTTATTATTTGGTGTTTTTACCCACCAACCACCACACAGAACCAGCAGAGACGGTTTCCAGACCTCCCAGCTATCAAAGTGCTACTGAAAGGAAACAGGTGCTCCAGGCCGGGAGTGACACCGACCATCTCCTCTTCCTTAACAGATGATTAATGTTTTATTCATTTCTTTGAGCTCAGCGACCTTTTTTAAAGTTACTAATGAACATGCTCATTTTAATGCCTGACACCACTGCACATTTAGCCGTCACAGTGTCCGACAAAGCTAATTTAATTAGAGTCAGCTGTAAAGGACCAGAACACTAGACTTGAATGCAAACCTTAAATACTGGAAATACTTGTGAATGTATGTGGTCACGTTGTGCCCAGTTTGATTGTGCATTAGTAACTGTAAAACTTCCATTCTTATTTTTTTATTCTGGATGTTCAATTAGCTATTATGTTCTGTTAACATAGAGCCTGATTAAATTAGCTTATAGCTTCCATGTGCACATCCACTAGAACGTTTGCTCACATTACAACACTGGTTATTTGGTATTATTGTGCCACTGGGTCACATGGCTAGTGTTAATATGAGCTGTGTTGTTTGTTCAGACTTTACTGCATGTCTATACCTAACCAATGAGTGTTCAAATAGCAGTAATTAAGTAGTAGTAGTAATAGTGTTAGTAGTAATAGTTGTATTAATAATAGTAGTAGTGGCAGTAGTAATAGAAGTACTAATACTAGTAGTAGTATTAGTAATAGTGATAATAATGGTAGGTAATGCTGCTGTTCAGCGTATTGTTTGTGTACTATTAGTGTATTCTTACTTTAGCATATTTCTTAGTTCATATATTAGATCTTATTAGTTTTTCTTTACAATTTAAACTTTTGTTGGATGTAACTGGGACCCTGAGTACACAATTTCGTTCTGCCACATGTACCACATGTGATGAGAATGACAATAAAGAAAACCTTGACCTAAAAAGACTAAAATTGCCTTGAAGAGTTTTATGATAAAGAGTATTTGAACAATCTGTTATTGTTCTTCTATCTGAGACAGCTGACTAAAGTGACGCTGATTCTTTCTCAGCAGTATTTTTGAAACAGTCCATCGTTTTACTCGGCTGGACTAGGGTCACACACTCTATACAAGAATCAGTGATTTGTGCATCTGTCAGCGTCAGAGGGTACAGAATGCTGCTTCACAGCTTTTAACTGGCACACGAAGGTTTCACCACATTTCTCCTGTTCTAGCCTCCCTGCACTGACTGCCCGTACATTTTAGGATTCATTTTAAAATTAGTTTATTTGTTTGTAAAGCTCTAAATGGACTTGCCCTGCTCCATCTGTCTGAGTTGCTACACCCACACACACCCTCTCAATCCGTGCGCCAAAGACAAAGCGGAAGCTCAGAGACCGTGCTTTTGCTGTGGAACGACCTTCCCTTGAACATGAGACAGTCTGTTTTAAAATCCCTGCTTAAACTCCATCTCTTCTCCGTGCCCTTTGACACCATCTGAGATGTTGACTTTTAATAATTTTAATCACTTTTTATTATCTGATTGCATGATTGTTTCATTATGTGTACAGCACTTTGGTCCTGTGCGTGTTTAAAGTGCTCTATAAATAAAGCTGGTATGGTATTGCTCTAAACACCTAATTAACAATGAATGAAACTATGCTTAATCTAAATTATACTGGAACGTTTTCATTAGAAAAATTATGTTTTAAAATTATGAAAAAACAAAAAACAAATTATTACTTAATGCTGGTTTATAAACCCTGAGGTTGCAGGTTTGAGTCCAGGTTGCGTCAGGAAGTTCATCTGGCATAAAACAAATAGCCAAATGTTTCATGTGAGGTCACTCGCTGAGGCGACCCCTGAAGAAAGGAGCAGCTAAAACTTGAAACTTACTTATTGTGGGTTTATACAACTGTTTGATTGCGAGTCTTAAATAAAGGTTGCTGACAAACAACACTCAGTTAAATGTTGTTTTGTGTAATTTGTGTAATGCGTATAAAGAAATTAAACACCTGAAAGCATTAATTTTACTCGAAAAGTAAATCCTAACTCTGCTGGAACCTCATGCCACACATTTGATGCTCTAAGAAAATCTCTCTAGGAATGCAAATTGTGGCACAAATGTTGCGGGGAGTTTAAGCAAACGTGTATGAATTAAATAGGATTCCATGTGAAATTATGTGCTTTTTATCTGAATTATGTGTCTCAGACAGTCGCAGCCCAGTGAGATGCTACCAAGACATCCTGAGAACTAAGGGATTAGTAGGAAACATCTGACTTTGACTGCAGGTTTCATCGTCTCACCGGCAGTTTGGGCCGTCTGTGGTGATCCACCATGTCCAGCAATGGGTACGATTCCCGCACCATGTCAATACTGACAACATTCTTAAAGCCAACGCTGACAATTATTACAAAGGAATGAGAAGAAATATTAGCTTTTTAGATTACAAGGATAAAATAAAGTACAATAAAAGTAAGATTTTTTTTAAACATACTTTTTAGCAATCTCTAAGACCGGCCCCTGCCCCGACACCAGGACACACTTGTCATGGAACCTCTTAAACATCCTCAGAGGACTGTGGGACATGATGACTTGGTCTTCTGTGATCTTCAGGTAGAACAAGAAAGGAGAGGTTACCAGCAAAGAGATACATATTAATAACAAAGTGATATTGAGTTTTGCTTCATCTCTAACACAGGAAGTCATTTATCACGACTCACAGGCACTCCCAGGATGTGAGAGAGCTGGTCCGCTTTTGTGTGTCGTTGGCAGTTCCCTGCGTTTGTTACAAAAACAACCGGCACCACAAACTGTCCCCGAGAGTCGACCAGCTTCTCAAAGGTCTTTTTTGCAGCGGGGATTGGCATCCTTCCTCTGACGAGCACCCCATCGATGTCGAATAACAAACCGAATCTTGGCTGTGGCTGCAGACGAGAAAAAACAGAAACAGATTTTTTTTTAAAAAGGGTACACAGTGTTCACGATGCGCACGGTACTTGTAGAAACGTGGAAAAGAATACAAATGTTTATAAAGATGTACAAAATGTAAAAATAGAACAGTACCTTGTAAAAGTTTTATGGTAATTTTTTGCTCGCAAAAATTGAGACAATATTTAATTTACCCAAAGAATAATCTGTAATGTGAGGTGACAGAGGTTCATGTTAGGCTTAATATCATTTAATTATTGATACTTTATTGATACAGGCTCTTTAAATGTGCAACAGACAAGGAACCACTGAATGAGGGGATCAGGGCAATATGGGGGAGTTCACAGGTCAAATTCATTTTACAGCTGCCTAAACAAGTCTGAGTTGTTTCTTTGAGGTTGTTTTTCTTCTGAGGCAGAGTTAAACTGAAACAAAGTGGCCACACTGAACACGAATAGTGTTTTTCATCAGGGAGTAAAACGGTCAGCTACATCTGCTGAGGTCTCATCCCCAGCAGGAAGCGCCGCATCCACCGCGGACACAAAGTTAGATGGAACACCGAAAAACACGGCTTCACTCGACAAACACCGCGACAAAACGTGTCAAACAATAGAAAAATAACTTGGAAAAAGAAGCAGTATGGCCGTGTCAACTGCGTATTGTTCGTCTGGGCCGAGGAGGCAGCAACAGCTCAAACCGTACCTTGGTAACTGACTGAGTTCCGCAAAGCCCGCACCGAGAACCGACAATCCCGGCTTTTCGCCTGGCTGGACGGTTACTTAGGGTGTGCTGGCCCCGGAAAAACGCCAGGAGTCCCCGCATCTCCTTTGCTTTATCGCGGGAGGGAGGAACGGGGTGTTCAGAAAGAAAGAGAAAAAAAAAACTATATATATAAATAAATAAATCAGGACGAGCGGCGCATGAAGCTGGAGCCGGCTAGCACCGGCCGTTGCTGCTGCAGGTCGGCTCCTGCCGTTTCCACATATTGTACTGCCTGAACTGTGATTGGACCAGCGCCGGTGACGTCAGAGGAGGCGGGTCTTCGTGCTGCATCTGCACCGCAACCCCCGCTGCCATTTTAGACTCTGAGGTGGAGCTAGCTCAGACCCGACGGGAGTCTGGGAAACACTTGATCCATGAGCCGCTCAACTCTCGATTCTAGCTGTTCCTTAGGGACAAGGTCATGTCCACCAGTCTGTCCCGTGTCTCCCGCGACAGAGGAGTTTGTGAACGACACTCCACCTCAATGACCAGGTTTGTTTGCACAACCAACCAGCTGGACCCGGATCAGAGCAAATGTGAAGACTCCTGTGATGTAATCTCGAGATTTAAAGGGAAACCACAGATAAGATGCCCAAATGGTTCAAATGATCCTAGTTTGCTTTTCTTTAATTTCATCTCATTGCCAAGATACTAAACACAGTTCTTTGGACAAGTTTGAATCGTAAGAATAAAAACGTTAAAACACAAAATGACTTAATTTCTACTAAATAAAAAATGCCATTCATACACGTTTTCAGATCATTTAAGTTACGCCATTTTTATGGTGCAAAGCGAAATCAATCAAAAACACTTCTCCCCGTGCTCCTCCAGCTTTATTGATAGTTTAAAATTACATTTCTATTTTCTAGGACTTCAGTTGCACTTTCCTTCCGACTTAAAAACTGAGTACAAGCAAATGGTATTTATACAGTAGTCTAAGTGATATTGTACAAAAATAATATTTCGATTTCTGTGAAAACATTTGTCATTCCCAAATATCTCCTAATTCTGCTGTTCTTTCAACTGCTCTTGGATTTTTTTTTTTTGATTTTTTTTTTGCCAAGGTAAAAACAAGAAAAAAAAAATAAATTCAAAGCCATTTTAAAAAGGAATAACACAAAGAAGTCTACCTTGGACTAACAAGTGATATTTAAATTGTAAACAGATTTCTATAAAAGAGCATGTTTCTTTGAATACCTCCAAAACGTTTTATATCTTAGTAATATAGTTTGTCATCGCCCACTTGTAGCTGCTTGTAGGGCAGAAATGCATCTTGTGAACTGTTTCCATATCGTACTCTCTTGGCCAACTCATGTTCCACTAAAACAAACCAAAATAACCACACATGGATGTTTGGTTTCCATTTACACCCTTCTTCTGTCTCATTTACTGAGGCATGTCCACACAGCTCAGAGTCCTACAGATTCCCGTTATGTTTAGTCCCATTTTTTTTCCTTTGCTGATCGCCGGTGGCCTGGAAAGGGGAGTTCTTAAACAAAGCATTATACATAACACCGCTACCAAACTAAAACTTTTTGTATTGAATGCAGAAAGATATCTTTTCACCCCTTTCATTGTATTACATGACGAGAGGCTCGCAGGCCTGGGACTAGCCTCTGTTAGCCAACCTTTGGCCAGTGAAGAGGATTCAGAGAAAATAATACAACCAACCATCAATCTGAAAAAAAAAAGGAGGGGCAACAGAGGGTGCTGATTATGCAGTGGCTTCGATGGTGCACTCTTTCGCCAGGTGGCCCGCCTTTCCACAGTTGTAGCAGTTAGTCTCGCTGGCTTTACTGCAATGCACGGCGACGTGGCCGATCTCGCCACACCTGCAGGGGGGGCACACGAGCTGCTCGGTGACTTGTGCAGACTTGACGAGTTCGAAAAAACGAGACGAGTAAAACCCACCTGTAACATTTCACCTTGTCGCAAAGTTTCTGGATGTGGCCAAACCCACCGCAGGAGTAGCACTTCTGCTCGTTGGCGTGATCGCAGTCACGGGCCATGTGGCCGGCTTTGCCACAGGTGTAGCAGAGCTGCTCCCTCTCTTTCCTGGGCTCCTTGCAGTCCCGAGAAATGTGACCACTCCTGTGGCAGTTGTAGCATGCTAACAGGCAAACGCAGTTTTATAATGCTCTTAACTTTCAATAAAATACGAGTTGTTCCGTGATCACACAGTTGAAGGTACTAAATGCACCTGATCATTAAAACAGCTGAAAAATACACACCATCCTCAGTTTGGTCACAGTCCCTGGCCATGTGTCCCTGGTCTCCACACCGATAGCAGAACAGCTCTGCAACGACACACAAAGGATACAACACGTTTAGTTTTTTTCTGTTTGGCTTGGATTTCGGATGAGCTTCTTCCATTTTTATGACACGGAGATCACTTATTAGCAACGGCAGCGGAAGGACAAGCTTGTTTTATGATCATCGTTACATTCTGGAAACAAACACTCATACCTTTTCCTCGTCCCCGGCCCCTGCCACGTCCACGTGAACCACTGGCATTGGGACAATGCTTGACCCAATGGCCAGATCGGCCACATCCAAAGCATTCGCTGTTGCTGCTCATCTCCATCACCTAAACAGAAGCGCACGAGGCAAACACCGCCCATCACTAATTAATATTACACACTTCTGATACAAAAAAAAAATCCGGGAAGGCGTCTATATCGTATGTACACTGCAATACTTTCAGTGTTCAAGACCCAAGAGTAAGGGAGGGGGTAAATATACACAGTACTACTGGATTCAGACTTGGGGGGGGGTCTACTCTACAATATGAGGGGTAAGTCTGACCAACTATGGAGCTAACTTACAGAACTTCACCAGTCTGTGGGATCATGCTGTGAACGCCAAACTTCTGCTTGACGGACACATTAAGCCAAGAAGAATGGTAAGTTAATAAGTAATTATGTTCCATCCATGCATTAAGAGGCGGTTAAAAAGAGGCTAACATGGCAGCTAAATATAACCTCCTCTAAAATAGCTACACTCATTTAAAACGGTCTAACGGAAAGCCAGGACTCAACTTTCACCTGAGGTAACGCGACACTTTCACTCAGCGCTTTGGCGTCCCTCAAACAGCCACATGTGGACTAACATGAGCGCTCAGAGCAGTAAACTCAGGTACAGCATGTCCAGTCACAGCCACCGACCATGAACGAGCATGAGAGCACGCGCCGCATCGTGTTGTTATTTACCGTCTGGAAGAGCAACAAAGTCCCAACAAAACGTTAGCTCCGCCGCTAAACTGCCTAAACTGCGTTGTGCGAAACAATTGTGACAGAATATTCAACTCTCAACAGTTTATGAGCTTCTGAAGAAGAGCACCAAAAAAAAAAAAAAAAAGAAATGCCAAAGGTTGAAGCTCCGCTAACGTTGGCCTAGTCACGTTGATTTTACTGCGCACTCGCGAGACGCACACTGGAGCTAGCTAGCTGAGCTAGCGGCTACTAGCTCAGCGTCTCACCGAAGAAACGCGGTTCGGTCGACGATCAGTCTTCGCTCTCCGGTAGGACCGTGTCGGTCGGACGCTCGTAGCGATAAAAACACGCGACGCGTGCGTTTTCACGGACAACCAGCAGAAAATACGATAAGGACAAAATTTCCCGCCAGAGCGCACACGCCACAGGGGCACGCTAACGTTAGCAGGCCGGACCTGGAACCCGATGCCGAGTTAGCGATAGCAAACAAAATCAAAACCACGCGTATTAGCAGACAGAAGCGCGGTCAGACTTTTAGCTTTCTCCTACTGTTACTTTAAACACATTGTGGTTGCAAAATCAACAGACATAAAACGACAACTTATGATATAAATTTAATGTCGTTTTATTGCTTACCCTTATGGCTACCTAGCTCGGTCAGTGTTTACGCCTCCTTCTTTGCGCTACATGCGGTGCCAGCAGGAGTTCCTGAATTGTCATTCGCGTTAACCAGCAAAACCCTGCAATCTGATTGGCCACAGGCTGTGCGAGTAGCCAATCAGACGCAGCAATGCTTGGACACCGCCTCTGGGAACCGACCAATAGACGTGCAGCGGTTCTCTTATTTCTCCTTAATCGGAATAGACTTTATTCTCCCATATCTGAAAGTTGTTAGACGTGAAACGTCGACATAAAGAACACGATGACTACTTAACAGGAAGCCAATGTTAGGATAAACCACACGGTACGACCCTAGAAAACATAAACCTAAAGTAGTGGTTTCTAAAGTTAAGGTCGGGACCCCGCTGTGGGTCAGTGAACACTAAAAGAGAGGCCTTAAAAAGATGACAAATCTCCACCCAAACAATGTTATCAGATTAAAAACAGCAGTCATGAATAGATAAGACATATTGGAGTTAAAAAAAAATTCCATTGTATATGTAATTTATTATTATTTGCTACCTTTTATTTTAGGGAAAAGCTGAGCTAAACAAAGTGGTTTCTCGTGTTTGTTTGCTTCATAAGCATCACTTGAGATATATTTGCATGTTTACTTTTTGTTATCCTTCTGTGAGGAACTTGTAAATGTAAAACAAAAACAATGCAAGAGTTTTCAAGATAGTAAACATATAATAATACAATATGAATTTATGAAACTTGCACAACGCCACAACTTTTTTGACATTGGGGTTTTAATATATATTAATGTTTACAATCTTTGTCTAAAAAATACCTGTATTTGTTTCACTTTTACAGGATAAATCCAGTCGTATGTCTCATATTTAAATGCGTACATGAATTTCAGTGAGTTTACTGTTTGTAAATGCTTTTTGAAGGTTTAATTCAAAGCAATGAATCGTGACAACTATTAATTCTTACTTTCACTGATATGATCCAAATGACTAACTCGTATACAAATGTCACATGTTTATTGCACTTCCGCTACTTTAAAACACACCTGAAACGACAGATTATCAGCTACATCTGCTGGGTTTGTGAATCCTTAAACTAATGATGTCCAAAAGACTAAAATATGAGGAAATATTTTATAAAACTTTCACAAAACTGACATATGATTATAAGAACAAATAGGCCTATGATTAAATAAGACCACGTGGTCATTTTTAAAATACACTAGTGTATTATTATGGTTCCTATTCTTTAAGAAGTCTTGACTGAATACAGGAAGGACCCGTAGAGACACTTCCTGGGAGCATCTGAGCAGTGCACAGATCAATACGTGGAGCAGATGCTTTCATCACTCTTAAGGTGGCCTCGGCTGTAAAGCTTCGAGGCTGTAGTTCCTAATTCCTTGGCTTTCATTTATTAGCTTGCACGCTTTGAATTAAGGCAAGCAGACATATTGAAACGTTTGGCACATAAGTTCTGCATGAATCGCGACATGTTCTGATTAAAAACACAGTAGCCGAGTAGTATGTGAAGCGGGATACCTTAAAATGCTGCACAATGACAAAGCCCTGCCCTCATCTTCACAGAAACTGTTTGGTGTTTCTGTTACTTGTCAGATTATTTGTTGGATTATTAGAGGAACAGATATTTGCTGAGTCTGATATCGTGACTTAATGTACAGTTTGCTGTTCAGGCTGCAACAAGGCGCAGGTTGGTGTGTTGATTTGTCACTAAATATGTCTGAAACTGCTTTATGGAAACATTATATTGCTGAACCCATCAGGACACACACACTTGGGGATGTTAATACATTTGTTTCAGTCCTAGATGGTGTTGAGTCCAGCCTGCTAACAGGACCATTGGAGCCATGATTGTGATTTGGATTCCTCAGGGGACCCAGACTGGGGGTGAATTCATGGTGAGTGTCCATGGTTGTGGTTTTACAATGATACTGTGTCTGGTTCTGTTTAAAGAGGAATGACATTTGATTTAGACATTTTTCTGATTTTGGGGGTGGGAAAAAAACAGAAAAAAAGTGAACGCATTTCTGCCCACAAACTGTAATGAGACTTTTTTAGGCTAATGTCAGCAGCATGCCATGTTAATATTCGTATTATTTTGATAAAACATGTAAAAAATGACACAAAAGACTAATTTTCAACACTCGTGTTGCAATACCTGCATTCCGCCAGAAGATGGCGCGCAAGGACACAAATAACCTTTTCACTGCAAATCTGCTCTTTAAAAGAAGCTACAAAAAGCCTCATTTTACAAAGTATACTTTTAAAACCGCATTATGTTTAAATGTATTCAACCTTTGTATGTGAGCGCTCACGGGGGTCCATTGAAACAAAGTGTGGTTTCAGTGGGAGGGCTCAGGTTCGTGCCATGGTTGCGCAGTGTGAGCGATGCTTGCAGGTCTTGTTATGACTGCGAGGTCCTGTTTCAGTCTGTGGCGTCAGACGGACTCACGGAACCGAGCCGACCCGCTTCACCTTCTCCCGAACAACGCGGATATCGATCCGAACCGCGTCGCATTAGCGAGCATTTCACCGGAGTCGTGCTTCGAAAGTGCTTTGTTGGACTTTGGAAGCGCGCGGCGGTGAAGAGAAGAAGAAGAAATCCCTCTTCGTGTCACTTTGAGGGACAGACGGATTTTTTTAAAGCACGTTTGAACCTGTGGATAAAAACTTCTCTGTTGTTTTCACGTTTTTTTAACCAAAGATAAACACCTGTGAGCTTCAAGTCTCACATTTAAACCACAGTAATTGGGACTTTGCGACCCAGCTCGGTGGTCTTTACTCAGCGCAGTCTCATTTTTCCTCTTTTCTTTGAACGCGTTGCGGGTTGGGATGATGTCACCGACGCCACTTTTCCCCAAAGTTATGGCGGAGCACAACTTTTGTACCTTCTCTTGGTGAGCTACACGTACACGAGCCGCTCCTGGCACTTCGCCGTGTGTCGCGCTAGAAAAGCTAAGTTTAGCTGAAGAAAATGCAGGAAGGATCGTGGAAAAAACTGAACAGCACGTCACGAAAAGAGCCGTGAAGTTTACCGTCACGCAGCTCGCTCACGGGCCTCGAGGCGGTTTCACGGTTTTAAGTAGGCTGTAAAAACAGCAGTGCAGTTTCTGCAGGCGTTTCACTGTCACTGGTCTTTTGTTGGCTCTGCATGCTTCGACACAGCCTAGAGATCATGCTAACCTGCTGACATTGTTCTCCAACTTTAGGAAGTGAGATCACAGACTGCTCAGTGTGACTTTGCTACTGTAATTTAGCTTTTTTAGATCAGTAGCAACCATCCAACATGTTTGTGTCCGTGCTCTTTTTTTCTTGCATGACATTTTGAGCTTGTTTCCTTCAAAAATCAACAGCTCTGCCTTTAAATCTGCAGTAAAAATACACATTTATCTCCTCACGATCAGCAGGTCTTTGTACAGGACACACACAAAAATAAAGTTTTGCAGAGTGGAGAGCTGCACGTGATTGTTAAATCTGAACAAAAAGCTGTGTGTGTGCACAATATTCTGAAGTTTGTATTAAAAGCATGCAAATGAAGGGCTGTATTTAGTGGCCAAGCATTATTATTATTATTATTATTATTATATCTGAATTCAACTCATTGTCCTGTTATTGTTTATTCACTTTAAATATGGATATACTTCCCTGCAATTTACAAGTTCTTATTGGCAATTACAGTAAAATCAGAATCTGTAAATATATATATTTTTTCTGTGCAGGTGTAATAAGTAGAGGTAGGTGATATTTATATTATGTGAAAAAGTCACTATACCGCAAATATTGAGTATATATTTTAATTATTTTATTGTTTATCTTCTGCATCCAGTCACTAGAAATCTCTATTTTCCCAGGCTCTTCTGATGCACCGCAGCTATTTCTTTCTTAAAATGGTGAGGGAACAAAGGTCAGAGGTCATTGCTCAGCGAGTTCACCACATTCAGTTTTGGTGTTAAATTAAAGAACAATAAAAATAAATTGTGATATATATTGAAAATCAGTTAAAATCCGTATCGTGATATTAATTTTGGTCTTAGCTCAGTTTGTCAACCTTTTTATTGCTCATCAGTAGATGTCAGTTCTTATACCACACTCCAAGCATTGCATTGCTTTTTATAAACCACTTTAGGTTTTAAAACGGTGCAGGCTTGAAGTCTTGAGATCAGTGTGCTTATAATAAATTTATTCAGACGTTCCCTTTATTTCTCTGGTTCGTTTCTCATCAATAGCTGAACTAGCTGCAGTTACTCGCATGATTTGAGGGTCGATCTTTGCCAGACCGCAGATTAACTCCAACCTTATTATGTCATAACCCAAATCTCCCGTTTTGCTACTTTTCTTTTCTGTGTCGAGAAAAATGTTATAATCAGCGACCCACTCAAACCAGCTGGAGCAGTTTTAGTCTTCCAGTGAGACTGTTGTTTCAGCATTTTTAGATTTGGATTAAAGCCATCTGTGGGCCTCCAAACACGCTTTTAGTAAAACTACAACAAAGATGCGTTCTAGTCTGTTTTTTTTTTACACATAGTCTGACCAGTATCTTAAAAAGAGTTGAAGTGATAGTATTTTCTTTCCCTCCAGACCATTGTTAGCGTTTCTTTTCACTGATGGAGCACCTTCAAGGAGCCTGGAGGACCCTGAGCAACGGCTTTGGAATGAAGGACTCTGTTTTCGAGGGTCCCTGTCTTTCTCCTACCATGGTCCAGGGCTTTCCCTGCCAGCGGCGCTCCTCAGACGACAGCAAGATGCCAGACTCAAAGACTAGTAGCACGATCCGTGTCTACCTCCCAAACCACCAGCGCACTGTGGTCAGTCAGTTTCCGCCTAGAGGGGGAACTTGTGTTTGGTGTGAAGCGTCGTGCTTCAACCTGTCGTTGTTGTGTTCCTCTGTCAGGTGAACGTGCGACCAGGTATGACCCTGTACAGCTGTCTGATCAAAGCCCTGAAGGTGCGAGGGCTGCAGCCTCAGTGCTGCGCCGTCTTCAAGCTGCATCCAGGACCGACGAGGTGGGCTTTTTTGGACATTTCTGACCACGGTTAAAGAAATCACTAAATAGATTTTATTCATTTTTTTTTTCTCCAAACAGTAAAAAATCCCGAATGGACTGGAATACAGACTCGACATCTTTAATCGGGGAAGAGCTGCTGGTGGAGGTTTTAGATCACGTTCCGTTGACGACGCATAATTTTGTAAGTTCCCCAAATTTCTGAATGTCTCCTTCTCAAGCGTTTGCTGCCAGATAAATAAATCCACAACGCCTTGTCACTTTCAGGTTCGGAAGACATATCTGAAGCTAGCGTTCTGTGATATTTGCCAGAAGTTCCTTTTGAACGGCTTCCGTTGCCAGACGTGCGGCTACAAGTTCCACGAACATTGTAGCACCAAAGTGCCCACGATGTGTGTGGACTGGAGCAACATTAGACAACTGCTGTAAGTACACGAGAGTAAATAAATAAACTAGCAATGATTGTATTGATACGTCCATCAGTATGTCTTTGGACGCCAGTTTAATTAGAAGTTAGGCAAAAGTTGATCGAGCAGAAAACCACTTGGGGAGAAAAAGCTGATTACTTTTCATTGATTTCATGAAAACATTTGAAACTAGAGAAATTGTGTTTCCTGCAAAAATGCAGTGTGGATACTTACTGCAGAAGAACCTGCGGAAAAACAGCTGAAATTAGCTAAAAACATGCTGAAATGTAGCTAAAATGGAAGAACAAGCCCAAGTTAGCAGAAGAAAACAGAACACATATTTGCTGAATTTGGTTTAAATGACTAGAAATGAGCACAAAAATAAGCAAATTAACTTACCCCCCCCCCCCCCCCCCCGGCTCAAATTAGCAAGAAATAGCTGAAAAATCAGAAAGAAGCTTAAATTGCCAGACAGAAGTGGAGAGTGCACTGTGGTGTCCAATTAAGCTTAAATAAGCAGAAATGAGCACACAAAAAATGGAAATTATCTGAAATAAGCAGAAATTTGTAACAATAAAAAAAGCTAAATAGTAGCTAAAGAAGCAGAAAGAAGCTTAAATTACCAGAGGGAAGTAGAGTGAGCACATTTTTGCAGAATTAGGCTGAAAAAAAATTAAATGGGTGCAAAAAATGTGGAATTAGCTGAAAAAGCTTAAATTAGCATAAAACAACTAAATAGCAGCTGAAATAGCTGAAACTTGCAGAAATAAGCTGAAAGGAGCATAACAAGCTTAAATTAGCATAAAGAAGTTAGAAGCACAAACATTTTGTAGTTATGAGAAAGAATCTGACAGGATCACTAAACAGCTGAAAGAAATGGCTGAAATGAGCTAAAACAGTTGAAGTCAGCTGCAAGAAGTTGAGCAAGAACAAAATGTGAAAGGAGCAGTAAAAGGTTGTAAACGCATCGAAAGATCTGAAGGATGTAAAATGAGCTCAATTCATTTTCTATGAGAGAAAAAAAAAAAGTGGCAGAACAAGCTAAATATTTCAAAACGCTAAAGTTGCACCAATACCAAAAGTCGCAGCACCCTTCTCCTGAATGAGCTGAACGTTTTGATTTATGATTTGTAGAAAAAGCACAAAAATTCTTGAACAAGAAAGATGCTGAAAAACGTACGGAAGAAAAATGGATCTCAACAGTGTGAATGCTTCATGAACATTCACAGAACAAAGGTCGAACATTCCTTGAAGGAAAACATGTTGCTCACCTTTCCTGCCAGAGTTGTAAACTACGATCATCTTATTTTGAAAAATGACATTTTAGCTGTTTCGGTCAACCTTTGAGAACACACCGTGCTCAGAGCATGAGGTTTGATTCACCTTCATCTAATACTACAGTAAGTTTTAGCTCAGTATTTGTAAATTTGCACTGCGTTATGGCTCTTTTCTGTGCCCTCTCAGGTCACTTAACTGTGGCAGCCATCTTGAATTCACTCCAAAAGGTGGTTGATGTTCACCCAGTGAATATCTTCTGAGAGTTTTATTAAAACCAGTTTCAGTTTCATGATGTATTTTCAAAACAACTCACGCAGTCACACACGTATGAAGACAGTACTGGCCATCTTTGCCTTTCGACAGCAGGTGATAATAATCATAGCAGCATTTCTTCTCTGCTCGTCCCGGCAGTAAAATCAGTGTTGTAATGTAACAAAGTACTTTGTTACCGTACTTAAGTAGAATTTTGACGTATCTTTACTTCGTTATTTTACATTTCTAGCAACTTTTACTTTTACTCCACTTCATTTTCTCAATAAAATGTGTACTTTTACTTCAATACATTTCCCTTAACCCTCTTAGTTACTCGTTCCTACAAAATAAAATGAGAAAAAATCTGATTGGGCAAGTCCTGTTTGCTCTCCCAGTCTGTGACTTCACGCGGCCCCTTCTCTCTCCCTCACTGACACTCACTCACACACCCAGCCTCTCCCCCACCACTTGTGTGAAAACTGTGGTTCCTGCTGTGAACGAGCTAGATGCATATGCAGATGTCAATAGGTCTTTGATGACTCACAGTGGAGACGCTGTAAATTCCTGATAGGTGTGAAAGTGATGGCACCTGCTAAAAAGTAGAGGTTTGGTGTTCTCCAGGGCATTAACTGCTTTAGAGCAGCCAGGTATGAAGTTGTTGGGTTACTAGTCTTCCCATTAAAGAACACGGAGACCGATATACAGTTTAGGGTGATTTACTGGTATTTACACACAGCAGTAAACCAGTAAAGCACAAACAAGCTTGAACAACAAGGCTCCGTCCGTGTCTGGAAAGAAAGAAAAAAAAAAAAACACCTGAGCTCCGCACTTTACACAGAGTGGTGCGTTCACTAGTGTTGGAACAGCCACGGTGCATTCAAGAGCATAGGAACTATTAAATTCAGAAAGAAAAGCCGTAACCAAAGTGTAAACAAACCAACAACACAACGATGTGGACTTTCTAACAGTTTTGTTCATAAAAGTTGAATAAAGGTTGAATACGTCAAAAGAGTCAGACTTTTTAAAGAACAATCTTTCAATTCAAACTTTTCAAGTTTTTGTCATTGGATATTGCACCCCATAAATGTTGTTTTGGAAATTCCAACCATTCACTTTTACTTAATACTCTTACTTTAAGTGCATTTTAAATGAGCAATTTACTTTTGATACTTCAGTACATTAAATATCAGATACTTTAATAAGACTTTTACTTAAGTAATAATTTTAAAGGAGACTTTAACTTTTACCAAAGTATCCAAAAAAGTTCAATCTGGTCCTCTGGACATTCAAAATTTTGAATGTCCAGAGGACCAGATTAAACTTTTTTGGATTTTTCTACCTGGATTATTGAGCATGCATCAGGATATTTTACCAAAGTAATTTTATGGTAAGATACTTGTAACTTTCACCGAAGTAGCACTTTGAGGTACTTTATACAACACTAAGTAAAACACAGATCCCTTGCCATTTCCAGATGAAACGTAATTTGATTCAGTTTAAAAAAGGTTACTTTTAAAGTTGTACTCAGCGCTGCAGAGATCAAGAAGCAGCAGGAAGTTCTACTGATGTCCAGAGTCAGATAAGTTGGAGCTCGTTTGCATGGCTTTGCGTCAACGCGCTCCAGAGAAGAAGGCCTTTATTCTCAGTTTGCATACAGGCTGTAGGACTAGCTGTAATTCTTTAAAGATCGATGAGCCGTCAGCTGCCGCTCTGTGCTCGTCTCTTACTCGCTGGTTCCCGTTTTGTTTCTGTCGACAGGTTTTGTGCAACACCTGGTGATGGCAGCGCCCCGTCACTGCCCCCGCCAACGTCCCGGCGAATGAGGGAATCTTTGACGAGGTTCCCGAGGTGAAGTTGCTTTTCTGTCCTCGCTGCAGTAAAACAAACGCATTCAGGATTTGAGCCTCTTTTTTTTTATCTCCTAAATGTTACTCATAAAGTAAAAAAAAAAAAAAAACCATTCCAAAACGTGATTTTATTTTTATTTCAGTTCCAATTGAATCACGTTGTGTGTTTAAAACGACTTCAAGGAGATTTATCGGTGGGAGGAAATGGTGCAACTGGGTGTGAAGGAGTTTGTTTTAGTGGCAGATAAAGTGGTTTAACCACTCTGACTTGCTAAATTAGCTCCTACAGAGAATCAAGTTGTTTCTTGCAGAAAATTCTTAAATGCTCCTCAGAAACGTGCACTCGTATCGGCTAATTGTTTGCAAGGAGTGCACTGTGCAGGTGTCTTCTGTCCCCATAGTGGAACGACAAGCCGCGGTGCGCAAACTGAGGATCTGCAAACAAACTGAGTTAAATGCAACAGGAAGTGTTTCTGCTGGTGCTTGCATGTGCACGTGTTAGTTTGGAGCAGCGTTCGGGTGGTTTTGGGATTAACATATTGGACCGAAAAGCTTTGTACTCGTTAACTGGAACAGTAAAAACAAACCTCTGCAGGATCAGCTCAGCTAAAAATGACGGAAGGGGAAGATCATAAACGATAAACAGTAGTTCCCCCAAAAAAAATGTTTCAGTTTGACTCTGTTCTTACTGGAGTTGAGCACAACACGGCCTGTTGGCTGTGAAAATGCTCCAACCTTCATGGAACGTGTTTAATGAAGGGAGGTAATGAATAAAGAACCAGTTCCACCCAGCAGCCACCACACCCTCTCTGACCCAGTTTTAAACACTGCTGTACTGACATCTGTTGTGGCTCTTTTGTTTTTTGAAGCAGGAATGCAACAAAAGCTCAAATTTAATTCTGTCCCCCCCCCCCCCCTTACAGCTCAGCCCACCGCAATTCCACCCCGCACGCCTTCAACTACACCACGTCGTGCCCACCCACAGGCGGCGGCCTCTCCCAGAGGCAGCGCTCCACCTCCACGCCCAACGTCCACATGGTCAGCACCACGCTGCCCGTAGACAGCAGCATGATCGAGGTGACTGCACCGTGTGGGGCCGCGCAGCTCAACGCTGCCACTCCTAAAACACCTCGTGCCTTCTCCTTGCCACTTAGGCGTTCCAGCTATCTTTGTCGTGCTCCTAATTGACCTCTTATCTACGTCTGCTTCGAGTCATCCACCTGAACAGGGCTGAGAATGTTTCTCAGATTCCTTAGATGGCATCTTATTTCAGCATTTTTCAATACTCTTGCACATTCTGACTTCTCATTCTTCAGTTCCACTTTCAGCTTTATCACCACCCTTAGTGTTGCATAATCAACGCACACGCTTTTTAATTTTTGTTATTTATGGTTTTTTTTCCTCTGTTGTATCTAAATTTTTTTCAGGTAGCATCATTTTAACTCACTTTCCATTTACTCTGTCCCTTTCCTGTCCTGTCTCCTCCTTGGCCTGTTGTTTTGTACCTTCTGGAGGGTAGCTAGACTGCCTGAGTGCCTCTCCCAGCACCTGGTGCCGTAGATTCTGGCTGAAGAGGAAAGTAGGTATTGTGCACTTCTCCCAGTCTAATGTTGAGGCCTCACCTGAGAGTCCAGGAAAGGTTAGAAAGCAGAGTCTGTGTGTGCAGCCTGAAATGCATGCCTTACAAGCTGACTATCTGCGTTCACACATCAGTGTTGTCAAATCATGAGCAGCAACACGGCATGCGGGTGATTCTTTTAACATGTTTATCAAACCTAATTTGTGTTTTTTCTTCTCTCGATTTTCTTTAGGATGCCATGCGTGATCATGACTCCGGTGAGTGCTTCCTCTGTCTTTCTGTGTTTTGTTCCAGCTGTTTATTCTTCATTACATTTGCTTCACATATTTTCCATTTAGAATGTGCACTCGTCTAAAACACACAACTACTTTTCCTTTCTGTCCATAATTATTAAAACTAAAGAGAGTGCATTTTCTGCAAAAAAATACAATGGGACCAAAGCGCTTGCAAAAGATTAAGTGTCAAAATGCTACCAAAAGTAGCAAAATGCTACCAAAATGTAGCAAAATGTTACTTAAATGTAGCAAAATCTAGTAAATGTAACAAAATATTACCAAAAGTAGCAAAATGCTACCAAAATGTATCAAAATGCTAATAACTAAATGCAATAAAAATGCTACCAAAAGTAGCTAAATGCTACCAAAATGTAGCTAAATGCTACCAAAATGTAGCTAAATCTACTAAAGGTAGTAAAATGCTACCAAAATGTAGCAAAATGCTACCAAAATGTAGCAAAATGTTAACTAAATACAATAAAATGTTACCAAAATGTAGCAAAATGTTAACTAAATACAATAAAATGCTACCAAAAGTAGCAAAATGCTACCAAAAATTGCAAAATGCTAACTAAATGCAATAAAATGCTACCAAAAGTAGCAAAATGCTACCAAAATGTAGCAAAATGCTACTTAAATGTAGCAAAATCTAGTAAATGTAACAAAATACTACCAAAAGTAGCAAAATGCTACTAAAATGTATCAAAATGCTACCAAAATGTATCAAAATGCTAATAACTAAATGCAATAAAATGCGACCAAAAGTAGCTAAATGCTACCAAAATGTAGCTAAATGTTACCAAGCGTAGCAAAATGCTACTATGTGGAATTAGTTAAATTGCAAAAAATGTACGGGAAACATAAAAAAAAAACAGAAAAGAAAAAGTCTGAATCAACATTTACACGACCACCACCAATGGATTTGACAAACTGATTTGGACGCAGCTAACATCAAGAATTATTTTATCCTCTTTGTGTTCCTAAAGCGGGGAGTTCCCCCAGCCAGAGCCCCACAGGCTGGTCCCAGTCCAAAGCCCCACCACCCTCCCAGCGAGAGAGAACCTCTCAGGAGAAAAATAAAATAGTAAGTTCTGGACAAGCTGTGGAGAATTCCACTTGGAGATTGTGTGTCATCGGTTGTGTCTTTTTTACTTCCTGTTCACGCAGAGGCCTCGGGAAAAGCGTGACTCTAGTTATTACTGGGAGATCGAGGCCAGCGAGGTTGTTTTGCATTCCCGCATCGGTTCCGGCTCCTTTGGAACGGTGTACAAAGGAAAATGGCACGGTAAGAACGTATTCCAAAACTGCAGGGAGGTGGAACACCTTCACACTCTTATCACTAGTTAACAGATATACATCAGGCAGTGGACTCACAGGAAGTGGTTAGTGCATTTTTTGCACGTCGTCTGTGCTAAAAGTAACTCAGAAGTTGTTTGTGTTGTAGGTGACGTAGCAGTGAAGATTTTAAAGGTCACTGACCCCACACCAGAGCAGTTCCAGGCTTTCAGGAATGAAGTGGCAGTCCTGAGGTAAAAATAACTCAAACCTTTATTTTAGCTTAGCTCTTCCAGCTGTTTCAACTAGCAAATCCTCTTCTTCTTGAACCTTTATCTGACTCTATCTTCAGTATGGTGATTTCCTCTTCCCTCTCTGCTTCGGGCTGCAGGAAAACGCGACACGTCAACATCCTTTTGTTCATGGGCTACATGACGCAGGACAACCTGGCCATCGTGACTCAGTGGTGTGAGGGCAGCAGCCTGTACAAACACATTCACGTCCTGGAGACCAACTTTAAGATGATCCAGCTCATCGATATCGCCAGGCAGACGGCTCAGGGCATGGAGTAAGAAGTGAAGAATAAAGCATCTTTGATGACTTCAGTAAAATCTACCTGATAATTTCAAAATGTTCCTCTTTTTTCCAGCTATTTACATGCAAAAAACATCATTCACCGGGACATGAAGTCCAACAGTATCCTTTCTGTTGTTTGTTTTTATTAGTTTGTGTTTTTACTTAAAAAAAAACAACTTCATCCTAATAATCCAAAGGATCATCCCTTTGTGTTTTAGCTATAATTCCTTGACATCAGTGCAGACATCTTTTTGCATGAAGGGTTAACGGTGAAAATTGGGGACTTTGGTCTTGCCACGGTGAAGGCCAGGTGGACTGGCTCACAGCAGGTGGAGCAGCCCTCAGGATCTATTCTTTGGATGGTCAGTGAGGGAGGAGAACCTCCTAACATGGCTTAATTCTAGACAGCAGAGAAAAAAGAACTTTTTGTGTTGTGGCTAAACAACCATGAAACGTGTTTGTATGAAACCTTTTTGCTGTTTGATGCTAGGCTCCTGAGGTTATCCGGATGCAGGACAACAATCCTTACAGCTTCCAGTCTGACGTCTATTCATACGGAGTGGTTCTCTTTGAGCTCATGGCGGGAGAGCTCCCGTACTCCCAGATAGCAAACCGAGATCAGGTAACGTCGTGTCCACGTGTCAAACGGTGTGCATTTGTCCACGCTTGTCTTAGACACACTTCTGTTTGTCTAACGAGTTTAAAGTTGGAGCATTCTCCTCCACCCCTTTCAGACCTGATGGGTCTGGTTGTCTCTGATGAATGGTTACGTACCACAGAGCTTTAAGACTGCTGTAATTAAACCTTTACTTAAGAAACATAACCTTGACTCGTGAATCCTAGCCAAATTATAGACCTAAATCTCATTTAATTTTCGTCTCAAAAAATCCAGAGAAAATAGTTGCAGGTCAGTTACGTGATCATCTGCAAAGAAATAACCTGTTTGAAGAGTTTCATTCAGGGTTTAGAGCTCACCACAGCACTGAATCTGCACTTGTGAAATTTCTAATGATATTCTCATGGCCTCTGACAATGGACAGGTGTCTACACTGGTCCTGTTAGACCTCAGTGCTGCATTTGATACAGATGATCACAATATTCTATTACTGAGACTTGAATATGATATTTGAATTATAGGAACGGCTCTAAATTGGTTAAAATCATATCTATCTGATGGATTCCAATTTGTAAATATAAATAATGAATCTTCATCATACACCAAAGTTAGTCCTGGAATTCCTCACGGCTCAGTGCTTGGGCCAATACTCTTTACTTTTATATGCTTCCATTAGGTAAAGTTATTAAACAACATGGGATAAATTTTCATTGTTATGCTGATGATACACAGTTATATTTATTCATGAAACCCAATGAATCATATCAGCTACTTAGACTACAAGCATGTCTTAAAGACATAAAAACCTGGATGACCCTTAATTTTCTCCTTTTGAACACAGACAAGACTGAAGTTTTGCTTTTTGGACCTGAGCATCTTAGGAATTATTTTTTTCAGTCTTTCTCCCTCCTTAGATGGCATTAATCTGTCCTCCAGCTCTAATGTTAAAAATCTTGGTGTTATTTTTGATCAGGACATGTCTTTTATCCCCCACATTAAAAACGTTACTAGAACTGTCTTCTTCCACCTGAGTAGTATCACTAAGATTAGAAACATCTTATCTAAAAATGATGGAGAAAAACTGTTTCATGCATTTGTCACGTCTAGACTGGACTATTGCAAAGGTTTATTATCTGGATGTCCAAATATTCTTTAAAACATCTTCAGTTGATCCAAAATGCTGCTGCCAGTCTTAACTGGAGTTAGTGGGAGAGATCATATTTCTCCAGTTTTAGTTTCTCTCCATCGGCTCCCTGTCAAATTTAGAATTGAATTCAAAATCTTACGTCTAACCTACAAAGCCATCAACAACCTAGCTCCATCTTATATTACAGATCTTATTGTTCCATATTTTCCTAACAGAGCACTTCGCTCTCAGACTGCAGGTTTACTTGTGGTTCCTAGAGTTTCCAAAAGCAGAATGGGAGGAAGATCTTTCAGTTATCAGGCTCCTCTCTTGTGGAACCAACTTCCAGTTTCTGTCCATGAGGCTGACACATTGTCCATTTTTAAGACTTTCCTGTTTGATAAATCCTATAGTTAGGATTAGCTTGTTATGCTGCTATAGGCTTAGACTACTGGAGGACAAATTGACCTCATTTCCTTAAATTAACTGTTAAAATTGAATAGTTTTCATTTGATACTATTTCTATCTTAATGTGATTCTTGATCTGCCATTGTGTATCTGTTCCTCCTTCCTGTTCCTCTCAAACCCAGTTGATTGAAGTAGATGATCACTTGTCCTGAGCCTGGTTCTGCTAAAGGTTTCTTCCTCATGAGGGAGTTTTTTCTTTCCACTGTCGCCTTCATGTTTGCTCAAGATGAGAGTCTGTGATGAAGTTGAATTCAAAGCAGTCTGCTCCTCAGATAAATAATGTTAAATAATTATTTATATATATGAATGTTTCTTTTCAGTGCCCTGAGACAACTTCTGTTGTGACTTGGTGCTATATAAATAAACTGAATTGAAATATGTGTGGCACAGAGATGTAAGCCCACAATCAGACACTTATCTGAGTTCTAGTCCTGGCCTGGGTCAGGGGGCAAGCCCAGCTCAGGAGGTGCTGAAACGGTTGAAGGGGGTTGCAGAACTGGCCTAAGGCCCGACATGCTACAGAGGCGGACGCCGTGGAGCCACTGGCCTAATTTTAGCTCTCGTAATACAACCCTGTGAGAGAAAAGAGGTTTGTGGGTGTGCATGTGTGCATTTGTTTGCCTCTGTAGTTTTTATTTTTTGTACGTTCGGGCCACAAAACCTGGTCTGGATTGTGTCTGATTGCATCAGAATGAGATTAAACGTCTGTGCCAAGTGTCCTGAAAGTTTCGATCCACTGTTGTGCTCTGTTCTTGATGTTCAACAACTTTGCCAGGTCCGACTCAGCGGATCTGGCAGGCACATAGAGTACTCCTTTCATCATTTATCTGTGCACCATCATGAACCTTCACAATAGCTCCAGTGTTTTAGATGTCTGTCATCTCGGACTCAGCTGCTATATTTATAAAGTCTGTTTGAGAATGACCTGTTGATTGGTTCAACTTTAGAGGATATTCAAATATTAGTGTAATCTGCTCTTTGTTCTTGCCTTTTTCAGATTATTTTCATGGTGGGCAGATGCTATTTGTCCCCAGACCTCAGTAAGCTCTATAAGAACTGCCCCAAAGCCATGAAAAGGTTGGTGGCAGACTGCATCAAGAAGTCCAAGGACGAGAGGCCGCTCTTTCCACAGGTGAGCTGCTTTCCTTCTCTAGATTTTGATCAGAAATAAGATGTTTTGGTACCACTTTACAGTAAGGCTCCCCTTATTGATGCTAATAAATAGTTTATAGATAAGTTATGAATGCCTCTAAAAACACTTTATAAATCATTAATAACTGTTTATTATGCATTAATTAAGGTTGTCAGAAAGCGGACAAGTTTCTTGCCAAATAGTGAGCCAAGTTTGCCACCTATATATTTGGTCTAGAGTTGTTATATTAAACGTTTCAGACCTTGTAAGCACAATAAACATTTGTAAACCTAATTTTTTTAGGGATATAATATTACCGTATTTTCTGGCGTATAAGTCGCATCAGTCCAAAAAAAAGCATCATGAAGAGGAAAAAAGCATATATAAGTCACTTTGGTGTATAAGTCGCGTTTATTATGCATCACCGTAGACTCGTTGCGTTTATTTAATGGTTAAAACAGCTTTGTTTCGCCTGGGCAGCGTGTTACCATCCTTCCATCTATCCATCACGGCCGGAGCCGCTAGCTCTTCAGTCTTCTTCCGTCTGCACCAGCTGAGTGAAGCCAGCGTGCACAGCGTGCACAAGAGGTCTCGCTGTTGCAGTTCTTCAGAATTTCAAGTGTCAGTCAAAAATTGCGTTATGAATATGAAAAAAAAAAAAAAAACCACCATATTTTCCGCCATACCCATCGCGCTGCCCTATAAGTTGCATCAGTCCATATTTGTCTAATAAAGTGGAAAAATCCATAAATATGTTGCTTCGCCGTATACGTCGCATCTATTATGCGTCACCGCTGACAACCCGGACATGTGGGCCAAACCTGGAAATATGGGCCGGTGTTGTGCCAAAAATCAATTGGCTGCCAAATGGCGGCCGCTGGAGCGTGCGCGGGAGAATTTTAATAAGAATTTAACAAGATTAACACATGAAAACAATTATTTGTTTGCTCAAAATTATAGCAAAGATGTGTCTCAGTCTAACGTTTGTTTAATAAATGCACTTTAATGGTCAAATTAGCTGCATTTCGCCGAGGTGGTGCAAGTGTTTTGACGGTTCCAAGCAGAGAGCAGAAAGACGGTGGGGAGACTATGGCAGGCTGATTGAGTCATTAATAGCTGGTGAAGATTCTCAGTCATCCAGGACATGGCAAATTCAAAAAAGTTCAAGATAAAAACAAGAAAGTATAAAGTATAATAAATACAGTCCAGTTGTTTTTGTCTTGAACTTTTTTGAATTTGTCATTATCGCCACGTTTACCTATTACATGATTCAACAGCATGCCATACTACTCTGCTACCATCAAGTGGCTGAAAATGGTACTGGTCAATTATTATTTTTCAGTCAGAATGAATGGAAATGGTCACATCTCAGCCGAAAATTTGTTTATAAATATGGGGAAAATCCATAAATATGTTGCTTCAGCCTATAAGTCGCAGGGCATTAAATTATGCACAAAAAAAAGCAACTTATAGGCTGAAAAATACAGTATATAAGTCGCTTTCTCGTATAAGTCGCATGACTGACAAATCTATGCAAAAAAAATATGACTTATACGCCAGAAAGTACGGTAGTTGTAGATACTTATAATGCTGTGATAAAGTACAATATTCTATGCTAAAGAAATAGATTTACAAATGCTTATTGTGCTAACAAGGTAGTAACTTAGTCTGAAATGTTTAATATAGCAACTCTAGATGAAATATGTAGGTGAACAGATTTGGCTCATTATTTGGCAACAAACTGGTCAGTTGTGTCTCCGTCACTCTTAATTAATGCATAATAAGCAGTTACTAATGATTTATAAAGTGTTTATGGAGGAATTAATAACATATCTATGAACTATTTATTAGCATGTGTAAGGGGAGCCTTATTGTAAAGTGGTACCGATGTTTCCGTTCGGCTCATCTTGTGTTTATTCCTCTTGTTCTTTTAGATCCTGTCCTCCATCGAGCTCCTCCAGCACGCCCTTCCCAAGATAAACCGCAGTGCCTCAGAGCCGTCCCTGCACAGAGCCTCGCAGACCGAGGACATCAACACGTGCACTCTGACCTCCACCAGACTGCCAGTTTTTTAAATGCTCCAGCAAAAACCTGCACCTCCTTCTCTCCTCACACGCAGGCTCCTCCTCTTTTAAAAATACTCAACTTATTCCCAAGCCATCATTATGCACAACCACCCTACTGAAATACGTACACGACCACACACGCACTGTTCGGCTGAAAGACGAGAGGGGAATGCAGGAAGAAGAGCATCTGAGATGGACTGTGGGGACGAGGGATAATAAATTGTAATTATGGGAAGGTGGCAGCTTGAGGTACCCCCCCCCCCCCCCATGTATCAAGACGTATGCCGACGCCTCATGTTGGCGTTTAGTTTTGCTTAAGTTGTAAATATTTGCACGCACGCCTTCCTAAGACGATGAATGGACACTGAAGGAAGCTCGGGGGACAGATGTGTCTCTTGATTTGCATTCTGTGACATGACGCGCACTCAAAGCCTTTCTGGTAAAAAACAAAAAAAAGACTTAAAGCTTTCCTGCCTTAAGAGGAAACAAAGCCTCAACTAAGTTTGTGCACAACTTCACCTCCTCTGGTTACCACCAGGCCGCTGGAAGCAGTTTGTGTCGTTGCACACAAGTAGATTTTTGTCTTAAACGATGACGATGTAGACGTGGGATTTAAAAAAAAAAAATTCTTTGTTTTAACATTTTTTTTCAGTTGTCTCTGTTTAGGGGTTATTTTTGATGAAAACCTGTCCGACAGCAACTGTTCGCATTGTTGTCACTGAACGGATCAGCTGAGGTCACCACGAGCTGGACGTTCGGCGGGCGTCTTAAGTATTTAAAAAATGATTGGGGAGCTCGTTCGTGTTTATTTGTTGTCGCATCGTGGAAGTTGAATGTTTAGTTTGAACTTGGTGGGAAAGTTATTGGATATTTTAATAAATTTAAGTTGAAAACTTTTTTTAAATTTTTTATAAAAGTCATGTTTGTTTTTCCTCGTAAACAAAACATTGATTTGTTTACTCGATTGTGTAGATTTAAAAAAAGATTTATCTTACAACCTCAATTTTGACAAAGATGTGTAAAAATGTAAAAAGTTATTTTAGATTTTTATGGCAGCAACACGTGTTATTAGTTTAAAAGTAAATGGTACTAATAAGAAACGTCTAGAGGAGGTTTTGCATCTATTCACATTATTTAGCAACAGGTCAGTGGGACTTGGTTTAATAAGAGCAGTTTATAAAGGCTGAATCAGAAGTAAAGATGGGCAGAGGTTCACCAGTCTGAGGAAAACTGCATCTCAACACTGAAATGATTTAGTATACAGTAGTCCCTCACGGTTCACTCGCTCTATCGTGGTTTTTCAAAATAAGGTTGGACATGACACAATTGGCTGATTGATGGATGAGCCACACGATCGACATGGAATTTTTATTTAAAATTAATTATTTTAAATTATTTAGCACCTGCCGCACCTGTGTGCAGCACAAGCTGCAGGAGAAGCTTCCTCCTGCAGCTTGTCAGACCTCTGCTCAACAACAGAGAAGTGGGCGTGGCCAGGTGGCAGAGAGCTGAGATCATGACATGCTGTGCTCTTTTAGAGCGTTTAGACACTAAATGTTTCTAAACTTTAGAGTTTAGAAAAATTGTTTAGAATATTGCAAGAGTGTGAGAAGGGTTTCAAATGCATTTATATATATATATAAATATATATATATAAATATATATATATATAGATCCCCCGTGATAAACAAGGGACTGCTGTATATTTCTCACTGAAAATTGTGAGGAACTCGAAAAAAATCTAATTTCTAGTTCATAATTTCATCAGAAAACTTCATGAATCGAACCTCAGATTCAGGAGGAGCAGTGCGGTTTTCGTCCTGGTCGTGGAACACTGGAGCAGCTCTACACTCTCAGCAGGGTCCTGGAGGGTGCGTGGGAGTTTGCCCAACCGGTCTACATGTGCTTTGTGGACTTGGAGAAGGCGTTCGACTGCGTCCCTCGGGGAACCCTGTGGGGGGGTACTCTGGGAGTATGGGGTGGGCCCTTTGATATGGGCTGTTAGGACCCTGTATGACCAGTGTCAGAGCCTGGTCCGCATCGCCGGCAGTAAGTCGGGCTTGTTCCCGGTGAGAGTTGGACTCCGCCAAGGTTGCCCTTTGTCACAGATTCTATTCATAACTTTTATGGACAGAATTTCTAGGTGCAGCCAAGGTGTTGAGGGGATCCGTTTTGGTGGCCTTAGGATCGCATCTCTGCTTTTTGTGGATGATGTGGTCCTATTGGCTTCATCAGATCGTGATCTACAGCTTTCGCTGGAGCGGTTCACAGCCGAGTGCGACATGGCTGGGATGAAGATCAGTTCCTCCAAATCCGAGGCCGTGGTCTTGAGCCGGAAAAGGGTAGAGTGCCCTCTCCAGGTCAGGGAGGAGGTCCTACCCCAAGTGGAGGAGTTCAAGTATCTTGGGATCTTGTTCACGAATGAGGGAAAAATGGAGCGTGAGATCGATAGGCGGATAGTTGCAGCGTCTGCAGTGAAGCAGGTGCTGTACCGGTCTGTCGTGGTGAAGAGAGAGCTGAGTCAAAAGGCGAAGCTCTCAATTTACTGGTCGATCTACGTTCCTACCCTCATCTATGGTCATGAGCTTTGGGTTGTGACAGAAAGAACGAGATCTCAGATACAAGCGGCCGAAATGAGTTTTCTCCGCAGGGTGTCTGGGCTCTCCCTTAGAGACAGGGTGAGAAGCTCGATCATCTGGGAGGGACTCAGAGTAGAGCCGCTGCTTCTCCACGTCGAGAGGAGCCAGTTGAGGTGGCTAGGGCATCTGGTTAGGATGCCTCCTGGACGCCTCCCTGGTGAGGTGTTCTGGACACGTCCCACCGGGAGAAGACCCAGAGGAAGACCCAGGACACGCTGGAGGGACTATGTTTCTCGGCTGGCCTGGGAACACCTCGGGATTCCCCTGGAGGAGCTGGCCCAAGTGGCTGGGGAGAGGGAAGTCTGGGCCTCCCTACTTGGGCTGCTACACACGCGACCCGACCCCAGATAAGCGGAAGAAAATGGATGGACTTCATGAATCTTGAGAAATCTCAGTTGAATTGAACATTTGAAATTGTTTTTGGAAACCACTACATGACATCTGGCTCGTCCATAGGGTGTTCTTCTCTGAAGGTATAGGGGTGCAATAATGCCTCTGGAACGGGCAGTTTACACATCTGGAAAGGCACCATCAATGCAGAATGGTTTATTTTTGAACATCTGCTCGCTGCCAGATGTCTTTCAGTGAAGGCCTTATTGTATAATGCACAACAGTTTTAAAATGTGTTGCTGCTGTCTTATACAATATCTCACATTAAATATGTTCATGATGTCTTCCAGCAGTAGAATGCAGTGATGTTGGCAGGTGTTGTCCCCTCCCGGTGAAGTCCCACACATGTGCAAGACGTAGTAACGTTTGCTGAACCTCCACAGGGAACCGTTCCACGGACGACACCAAGGGCCTCACCATTGGGTGACGCTCCAGTGTCCTGCGCAGCCACTGGCAAGCTCAGTGGAACAACCCTGCAGGCGAGGGACCCGAGGTGGAAAGGGAGAGGACGGTTGGATTTTGTTTTAGTGTAAACATTCAGCAGACAGGTCCTGCGGGACGCCACCACCAAATGTTCAGGTTTACAGTAAACATTGGAATATTTGTAGTGCGCTAAAAGTAGGACGTGTTTTTTTTTTAATTATCATTCCTTTGAATTTAGGCCGACTGTAAATAAAAGACGTGTGAGGGTGGTGAGCTGTACAAAAACCTCACCCCAGGGGTGAGCAAGGCCGAATGTCATGAAAAGTGGAGCAGCTCACCAAGAGCAGAACTTTCAGTTCACCACAGAGGGTTTATTTTTACCCTGCTGGGTGCTTTCATCTCCGTCCTCCGTCCTTTGTGTCAACCAGCAGCTCCATCTAGTGCTGCTGCTCGCAGAAAAGCTGCTCCGTCAGTCTGGTGGGAGCTGTCCATGCTTCCTGTTTCAGACGGATTTAAAGTTGAGCTTAAACTGTTTTCACATCTGTTTAAAACCCAGAACAGTGATTAAAGCAAAACGAGCTTTACTACATCAGTCTAGCTCGGTTTTCATAAAACTGAGATGGAGCCATTTTTGTGTTTTCTAATGTCCTTTGATTATGGTGGCCATTTTGAATTAGGTTGGCTCCGAATATTCTTGATGAACGTGTTCGAGCAGATCTTGAGTCCGTTCAGTGACGCTCAGCTGAGTTCAAGTTCCTGCTCTGGATAACGTTACGAGTTTCTCTATTAATCCAGACTAGTTTTCTCGCTCCTGTTGCAGAAATCCCTTCTACCACAGCATGATGCTACCACCACCGTGTCTGTGTGTAGGCATGGTATACCTGGGCTGGTGCTCGGTAAGGGGAGAACATGAAAACGCCATGTTTGGCATATTTTGGCTTAATTGGATGAAAAAAAAGTTTATTTTAAATTAAAGTTGCTTTAGATGTTTTGGGGAAGTCTGTTGATGCAATTTCAGAAAAGTTTAATTTTAATTTACATGTTTGTCAAACACGGTGGCACAGTTGCTGTTGCTTCTTAGCGAGAAAGGCACAGGTTCAAGTCCCATAGGACCTTTCTGGGTGGAGTTTGCATGTTCTCTCTGGGTACTCCGGTTCCCTCCCACAGATCAAAAACATGTATGTTAGACTGATTGGTAACTAAATTGTCCCTAGGTGTGAGTGAGAGAGTGAATGGTTGTTAGTCTCTATGTGCCCCTGTGATGGACTGGAGACCTGTCCAGGTTGTCCCCCGCCTCTCACACAGTGACTGATGGACATGAATGCCAGGGACCTCAGCGAACCAAAAAGGACGAACCAGTAAAGGTAACGGATGGATGGATGGATGGATGGATGGATGGATGGAGGCTTGTCAAACAAAACAATTAGAGATGTGATATTAAACCCCATTAATTATATAAAATAGTGTTAATTTCTTCAGATAATAAGCCATATCTTTATATAATATATTTCTACAGCAACTTTCATATGCTGTATATACAAGCAGGCACTGCTGGTTGCCAGGTTAGACTCTTGCAGTCAAGTGTGTTACCATGGTAACCTAAAGATGCTGAGGTTTTGTGTGCATCAAATCCACCACCAGATGGCGCAAGTTAATTAACATAAACTGATCTTAAACCAACTGTGATTGATTAAAATATTTGTTGTCCATCCTTTTTACATGAAGACCTCCATCTTCAGCCAATCAGCTAAACCGATTAAAGATTAAAAGAGAAGTGGTTGGATGATAATGAGTGTTTCAGTCTTCTTTTACAACAGTGAGAGTGGTGAGTATCAGAAATACTACACATTGCTGTACTTTTTGTTTTTCAAAAGATGGGCTCAGTTTTTACCAAGACTCTTGCGTTCTCCTTCGTTACAGACAGGAGTGTGTGTCTGTCCTCTGATGTGCTCTTCAGCCAGATGGTCCTCTCTGCACCGAGCCTCTCCTCCTCGAGTCGGCTCATGTTGAACAGCAGCTTGGCAGAGAGCTGGAGGGGAGAGGGCGTCTAGACACGAGTTCTTCAGCAGGAATTTCAAAAACCAAGGTCAGGTTAGTCTGCCTTTTTTTTTTTTTCCAATTTAAAAAAACGCTTCCATCTGGATGTTTGACAAATGTTTTTTAGCTGAACAGACTTTATCTGTGGGAGCTGCTTCCTGCTGAAATATTGTTGACATTTTCCCAGATAAATACCAGCCTGATGGTTGCTCTGCAGCATCTGTGGTGCTTTACCCTGATCTGTAGCAGTTTTACTGCGTGGACTCTGAGCTTCTGTGGGTCATCTGTGAGCAGAGACAGTTACAGCTGTCAGAGAAGACTCCAGTCATACGAAGAAAACAAGTGTAATAATAAGACATCACAGCTGTGACAATGTGTAAACTGTAAATATGGAGCTATATAACGACTTATAGTCTTTCATGCTCTTTTCATGAAATTTAATGTGATTTGTTTCATTAACAGCCATAAAAAAGCAGGACCACTTTAAGTTAGTGTTTAACATATTAGAATATTAGTTTTATTTTTAACAACACAGAAGCATTCAAGCCATCAAACAATTAAGGCATAATAAAATACTTTTTAAAACTTTCTGTAATTTTTTTTAAAGTGGAAGTTTTTAATGAGGAAGAAATGAGCCCCCAACATTTACTCAAACTTGAAATGGCTTCAATCACACACAGTTGTATACCAGTTTTTTGGGGAATACAAGTACTTCAGTTTGTGTACTCGCCGATATCGATTATCAATACCGAGTACTTACTGAGTTAGAACATATACATTACACACTGACTTAAAAAACACATTTCTTTAGTTTTAAACAAGGTGGCTCTCCTAACTTACAGACCTACAGTTCCTATGCCTGTAGATACTGGATACCAGAGCTATTCAACTGGCGGCCTGCGGGTGACTTCAATCCGGCCCACTTCATGAAATATATATATATATATATATATTTATGTTATTGGGGGGGGGGGGAGGTTCTGGGTTTGGGTGTTGGGTTCTGTTTGTTGCATTTATGATTCAATGCAATAAAATAAACCAATGTAAAAGGTAACACATTGTAAACTTTGGTTATTTACATAATGACTTTAATCGCTGGATGTCTGCCCCCCCCCCCCCCCCCCCGCGCTGTTGGCTTTCAGAAACTGGCCCCCTGAGCAGTTTAGTTGAATAACCCTGCTGTATACTGTTGTGAAATTTTAAATTAAATAAAAATATAACAAAATAGATTTTCTTTCAACTTGTGTAAATTTCTCAAACATGGTCCAAAAACTGGAGAGTAAAACCTCCAGCAAACTGCGCAGTTAAACTTATAACAGATAATGGACTTCCACTGCTCGTCCACATATCTGAAGTCAACGCAGAAACATCCTGCAGGTGGGTTTTTGTTTTAATTAATTCATTTCACCTTCTGCAAAGTTTTTTCGTCAATATGGCGGCGGGCGGGAATGTTGTACCGAGGCTCTAAATGTTGAGAAGACGACTAAAATCCAGTATCATCCAAACTTTCGGTCACTTCTGCAGCACAAGTAGAAATGGCACCACTGATACCACCATAAGTGCTATCAATCCCGAGTATTGGGGCATTTTTTACAGGTATGAATACTTGTAAAAATGCTCATATCTGGCACAATCAGATACCAGACATGGACACCAGATTAGTAGTATCAGACAACACTAATATACGTGCACATCTCCAAATAGAGACAGAAGCCAGCACTTCTCAGTCAAACTGCTAAGACATTTTTCTACAGAACGATCAATGCTTTTGATTCTGTAACCCTTTCATAGTTCTTATTAAGACACCAGAAACTTGTGTAACTGTAAAACATGGGAAACGTCTTTTTTGAGATCTTTGTTTATGTCTGTTCATCCGCAGTAAACACAACGTGTTTAGTTTGTGTACTGTTTATGATGCAAGAGAGCAAATAATTAATCAGCTGTGTCATTAAATACAGTAGATTAAGTTTTTGATGGATGACGTGTTGAGAACAAGCTGCAAAATCCCTCAAATCAGGAGGGCTGCGAGAAAAAAATATACATTATTTTTTTGCATCCCCACGAGAGAGAAAAACTTCCTCACTTTTTATGGCTTTGCAGCCTTTGGTTTATCTGTCCGACCTCCTAAACAGCTATCTACAGCAGGTTGGATATTAATTGTTCCATTAAATTAAATTCAGTTTATTTATATAGCATCAAGTCACAACAGAAGTCATTTCAGGACACCGAACAGAAACATTCACATACATGAAAAAAGCCAATTATAAAAGTTCTCTATTTAAGGAGGTCAGCAGATTGTGTTGAATCTTTACTTTGTCGCAGTCTCCCATCCTGAGCAAGCACAAAGGCAACAGTGGAAAGGAAGAACTCCCTTTTAACAGGAAGAAACCTCCAGCGGAACCAGGCTCAGGACATGCAATCATCCGCTTCGGCCAGCTGGGCTTTGGTCGGACAAGAAGTAGAAACAAACAAACAAACAAACAAACAAACAAACAAACAAACAAACAAACAAACAAACAAACAAACACAGAATGGCAGGTCCAGATGTACTTTCTATTGGAAAAAAGACAAAAAACACATGTTAAGGATAGAAATAATTACCAATTCAAACAGGTAGAATAGAGCAAGTAAAGACAACAGCAGAGTGAGGAAATGTGGTCAATTTGTCCTCCAGCAGTCTAAGCCTATAGCAGCATAACTAAGGGAAAGCTCAGGAAACCAAAGCTGACCCTAACTATAGTATTGATCAAAAAGGAAAGTCTTAAAACTGGACAATGTGTCAGCCTCATGGACAGAAACTGGAAGTTGGTTCCACAAGAGAGGAGCCTGATAACTGAAAGACCTGCCTCCCATTCTGCTTTTGGAAACTCTAGGAACCACAAGTAAACCTGCAGCCTGAGAGCAAAGTGCTCTGTTAAGAAAATATGGAACAAGATCTTGAATATAAGATGGAGCTAGGTTGTTGAGAGCTTTGTAGGTTAGAAGTAAGATTTTGAATTCTATTCTGGATTTGACGGAGCCAATGGAGAGAAGCTAAAACTGGAGAAATATGATCTCTCCCACTAACTCCAGTTAAGACTCTGGCAGCAGCATTTTGGATCAACTGAAAACTTTGTAAAGTAGTATTTGGACACCCAGATAATAAACCATTGCAATAGTCTAGTCTAGACACGATGAATGCATGAACCGGTTTTTATGCATTGTCTTTAGATAAGATGTTTTTAATTTTAGTGATATTAAGCAGATGGAAGAAGGCAGTTCTTGTAACATTTTTAATGTGGGGGATAAAAGACATGTCCTGATCAAAAATAACACCAAGATTTTTAACATTAGAGCTGGAGGACAGATTAATGCCATCTAAGGAGGAAGAAAGACTGAAAAATTAATTCCTAAGATGCTCAGGTCCAAAAACTAAAACCTCAGTCTTGTCTGAGTTTAAAGGCAGAACATTTAGGATCATCCAGGTTCATCCATGCTTCTAGTCTAAGTAACTGATTAGATTCATTGGGTTTCCTGGATAAATATAGCTGTGTATCATCAGCATAACAATGAACATTTATCCCATGCTGTTTAATAACTTTACCTAATGGAAGCAAATATAAAGAGTATTGCTGTTCAGAACCATTCCAAATAACCCCACTTAAAAAAAACGTAAAACAAACAATCTTTTCAAGCTCTAACAACCAAACCTTTCCGTTCTCACCTCAGCTGTGAATGTGTTGTTCCTCCTCTCCATCCAGCAGATCAAGCTGATGCTGTTCCATGGCTGCTTATGAGTAGTACGCCTGTTTTGATTCAGCAGCTGGTTTCTTCTGGGCCTCAGACTGATCCAGTTCTCTTCCACTCCATTTGATGTTCAAGCATCTTGATTCACCAAATGGTACCAGGTACATAGTATTAGGTAGGTAACTAGTATACAAATTCAGTACTAGGTACATACTGGGTAAGTATCAAGTAAGCTATAGATACGTACCAGGAAGTACCAAATAAGTAGTTTTAGTTATTTGCGCAGCAAGTTTTTGGCTATCATTACATACCCGGTAGGTACCAGGTACCTACTGTGTATGTATTCAGTAAGTATTTGGTGTGTACCGGGTAAATATCAGGCATGTATTTAGCTGTATGATGTTGCTACCCATAATAGTTTAGCCCTGTCACATTCCTGCTGACTAAATTCATTAACTTGTTTGATACAAACACAATTTCACCATATATGAGCTAAAACACCATAAAATAAAGACAGACGCAGCTTCACAGTACAAATATCTGTTCATGCGCTGGGAACGACACAATGCTGGAGGTGGCGTGTGCAGACCAAAGCAGCCGAGTGGTGTTGTACAGGATCAGGTAGCTGATGAAATGAAGTGTTTCATGAGTGCAACATTACTCCTGACACACACACAGGAGGACACACACCAGTCATTTATTGCAAAGGAAGCTTTATTGCCAGTGACAACCGAAGAAATATTCAAAAAAGATTTATTTTCAATTTAATCTATTTCGATCTGAACTTTCACTGTTCGCCGTTGGTTTTAAAGGTACCACAGTTCTGTAGTCTGCCAGGTCGGCCCGGCCCAGGTAAAACTGAGCAAATGTTCAACTCCCTCTCTCTAACTGGGGTACCTCTGCACATCAGTGTCATGGCATATCTCCTATAAAACAGAACAACACTTCCATGAAGCCTCAGGCATGGCTTTTCACGAGGATACAATCACAGATACAATGGCACTTGATACAAATTAGGAAAGAACCGCACACAGAGCTCGCAGGATGACTTTTTATAGAAGCAAACTCTTGAAGGACAGCACTGATATCGTTCTTTTCATTCCACAGGTAAGTCTGTTGCTTTTTAGCTGTTTCATCATTTAGGTTATTCGATCAAAGAAAAGGGCTTCTACAAAAGCCACTGGACAAAAAACATGTGACTGAGACATTAAAAGTGGTAAAACAAACATTCTTTAAGAAGGTGTGGGGCAAGTATAGCTATTTTAATGAATTATCGGAAGATCTGATTTTATTCTTAGTATATTACCGAGAGAGAAAAGAAACAACAGATTTATATTGCACCTTCCATCGACTCACAGGAATGGCAGTAACATGAGCACAGTACAGCAGTCCACACTGAAACCTCGGGAGCTCATGCATCGTTGTCATGGGAACACAAGATAAAAGCTATTATTTAGCGTGAGAAAACCTCGGGGGGCGATGTGTGTGGAGGGGACACTATATCTCGCACTGTGGTGCAGATCTACATCACGCATGTTTTAGTTTAAGAAAAAATAAAATCAGTTTCTACATACCTGGACCCAAAACGGACAACAAGAGGTAAAATACAGCATCGCTTCACCGGTGTTTGCTCTTTATTCGGCAGTTTGAAACAGGTTGTGCACGTCTTGGACCGCTCTTTTGAAGAAATAGTGCAGGATTACCAGTCCCCTCACTGGTATTTACATCGTGGGTTACTGGAGTGCAAAGACTAAAAGTACTTAACTATGTTCTTTGGTTGCACGTCACTATACACGATAAAATCTTCAATAAACTTTTAATTGTACTTCTTTGTGGGCATCTATGATTAAATAAACTCTTCTAGTGGTATTTATTTATTTATATAGATTGGGAGATGGAAGTTATAGAAAATAAAAAATACTGCATGTACCTATCGGGTGTGTAAAAGTCTTATCTTATTGCACATTTACAATGCATGACTCACAGGAAACACAGCTTAGAAAAAACACAGCGATGTAACGGCCATGTTGGATATACGTACCACACGGTCAGACGTTTATAACCTGCGCCTGGCTTTGTATCAATCATGCAAAAACAAAAATAAATATCTATCAGTATTAGTATGAAAATAACCACCACTACAGCCATACACACCCACTTATCGTTATACGTATTACGATATACGGTATGTTCAAAGTTTGAGGAATATCTAGAGGTACACACCAAAATAAGAGTAAGAATAAAAATAAACAAAACCACAGAGCAAATGAAAAGCTCACAGCCGGGTCAAACGGGCAGCACAGAGCAGCACTGAACTCAGTGGAGGCACAATCTTCATTTAACAGCATCAACAACAGCTCCAAAGAAAAACCACAGCTACTAGAACACGGGTGAGCACACAAATCAACAGGTGAACAGGTGACGGAACGATCGGACACTGCATAGAGTTCAAAACAAAAACAGTCCAGGCCGGCGCCCTCCCCCCCTTAAAAGATCTGATTCTACATCTGACAGCATCCACACCCGTCTGCACTCGTGTTCAGCTAAGGTACACTTCGTCACCTAGACTCTGATAGTACTCCTCTCGTGGGTCGGTTTCAGTTGGCCTGGACTGGTTTTGGACTCACAGCAACGCCGTTACAGTCGAGAATGTACTGCAAACAACCTTGAGGGGGGTGCCCGGCACCATTCTTGGTGGGTTCACCGATGATCTCGCCCTTCTGACCAGTTCCCTAAAGAACGAGCAGAAGAACAGAGTTGGTGATGAAAAAATAAAGTCAACTAAGAGTCTCCTTTGTTCAATCTCATGGTTGTTGTACCTGGGATGGTTGTATGGTGGTGGGTCTCTGAGGAGCGTTAGCATCTCTTTCGGCTAATTGGTTCAATTTGGCCAAAACCAACTCGGTAATCAGCTGCCTGTCCTCAGCCTGGTGCTCTCCAACCAGCGGCATGGAGGAACCCACCGCCTGTGCCACATGAAGATGCTTATATTAGTGGCAAAATGTAAACAAGACACTTTTAACCAAAAAACTGAATAAAGAAGAAACAAACTGCTCGTTATTTATTCATACAGCTGGGTACCTTCTAGAAGCATATTTTTAGATAATTCATGCTAAATCTAAAGGTGTACAGCAACTTTTAGTCCTGCCTATCTCAGACTCCTACCTCTGTGATGTAATCTTTGCCATCTTTCCCATGTATAGCTTTAACTGCACAAATGTCCAGACCGCCGAAAATCTCAGAGCAGGTGTCGACCCACAGCTTGTACCTGAACAATAGAATCAAAACACAACTCTGAACCCATGGCAGCACTATGTCTGATGATCAATAATTTCACAAAACAAAACAGTAGATTGGCTAAAATAGAGATAATACGTTGGAATGGCCAACGTTGATGTGAGGTGTGATTAGTGGCTGCCATCTTCTAGGTGCTATGCCTGTCAAAACCACACATTGTTTATATCTTGTTGCAACAGTCCAAAAATGTGTAGAAATACTCGTTTTACTTAATTAAACATCAATTTCCCCTCCGTCCCATCGAGGAAGTCCTCGGACCAACCAGCTGAATAAACATTCTGTCATCATTTCAGGACTCTTGGATTCTCATTAGTGCTGTCCTTGGCTATTCCTCGACACGTCTCGAGAATGTTTACGGATCTCACCGGAGGAACTGGCTGATTATTCTATCCTTATCAGAACTCCTACAGTGCCTCTGGGAGTGTCCTTGGACATTCTCACCTCCCTTATCGTCCCCCCACCCCACCCCCATCCCCACCCCCTGCGGAATGTCTACGTCACCATGTGCTTGTGTGTGGGGTGTTTTTTTTCATTATCAGGGTCTTTCTTCTCAGCCAAGAAGAAAGAGTTTGATAGGATTTTGTTTTGCCTACAATTCCTACATGTGTCACTTTCACTACCTTTTTTTCTGTCTAAACAGGTCTCACTTGTAAATGAGCCTTTGAGGCTCAGTGTGATTTATCAGTCTAAATAAAGGTTGAATGAATGAATGAAAAAATTTGTCCATCCATCCGTTCGTCTGTCCATCCATCCATCCATCCATCCATCCATCCATCCATCCATCCATCC